GATTGTAAATGGTATCTTCTTTAAATTACATTGCTAGTGCATAAGAATAAATTTATTTTCAAATATTGATCTTAAATCTAGCAACATTACTGAACTATTAACTAACTCTATAATTTGTCCATAGATGTAATGTCTACGGACAATCATTTTGTGCATAGAAATAACTTTGTTTCTCCCCTTCCAACTTTTTTTGCCTTTTATTTTTCTCGGTTTGCTTTGCTTGTGAGGGCTTGATATTAAGTTAAATTTATCACAGAGTTTTGGTAAATAACTTTAATGAAATAAAGAAACTTTTTTTCCTATCCTGATACACTAAGAGTATTTGTTAATAGTCTTACCTACTTTCCTGTAGCCCTTGAACCTTTTTACCATAATTAACTATGAAAAGATTGTAAAAAAATAATAATAATTTTAAAAATGGGGGAAAAAAAAGGAGTATTTGTGGGCCCATCATGATAACCTAGCAGCTAAAGTCCTCACCTTGCACACACCAGGATCCCATATGGATGCTGATTTGTGTCCTGGCAGGCCCACTTTCCATCCAGCTCCTAGCCTGTGGCCTGGGAAAGCAGACAAGGACTACCCAAAGCTTTGGGAAGCTGTACCCACATGGGAGATTCGGAAGAAGCTAATGGCTCCTGACTTCAGATTGGCTCAGCTCCAGCTGTTGCAGCCACTTGGGGGGTGAATCAACAAACAGAAGATCTTCCTCTCTGTCTCCCCTCCTCTCTGTGTATCTGACTTTCCAATAAAAATTAAAAATAAATCTTAAAAAAAATATTTGCCACAGTACTGAATTTTAGCAAATGCTTTTATCAATGGAAATGATGGTATGCTTATTTCCTTTATAAGCTAATATAATTTATTAGTAGATTTCTAAAATATTAAATTTAAACACTACTTGTTCACAATAATTAGTTAAATTGTGAAAGGCAACAAAGCAATAACATAAAAATTTGTTGCATGTTAAGGTTCAGCCAGTGAGAAGAGAGACAGACCTTTGGACATTAAAATTCACTCTTAATTTAAAACTATAGTCAATTATTTCATACCTTTATAAGAGCTTTCATTATTATATTTAGTTTTCAGTTTTGTAACAGCGATGGTAAAACAGTAAAGTGATTGGCAGTACAAAAAGATTAACAGAGGAAAAAGGAATGTTAAACAGGACAAATAGTTCTAATCTGTTTATTTAGTGATTACATCCCAGCAGTATGTGAAACGTTTGTTGTGAATGTTAACATTCCAATGAGGAGAATTTACTTGTAACATTACAAAAAAAAAGAATACGGGGGTAAGTGGGCCCAGCACGGAGCCTAGTGGCTGAGGTCCTCGCCTTGCATGTACCAGGATCCTGTAAGGGTGCCAGTTCGTGTCCTGCACCCCCCATGAGAGACCCAGAAGAAACTCCTGGCTTTTGATCAGCTCAGCTCTGCCTCTTGTGACTACTTGGAGAGTGAACCAGCAAACACAAGATCTGTCTGTCTCTCCTCTGTGTAGATGTCTTTCCAGTAAAGAAAGAAATATTTTTTTATTATTTTTTAAAGATTTATTTATTTTTATTGCAAAGTCAGATATACAGAGAGGAGGAGAGACAGAGAGGAAGATCTTCCATCCAATGATTCACTCCCCAAGTGACCACAACGGCTGGAGCTGCACCAATCCGAAGTCAGGAGCCTCTTCTGGGTCTCCCACGTGGGTGCAGGATCCCAAAGCCTTGGGCCGTCCTCGACTGCTTTCCCAGGCCACAAGCAGGGAGCTGGATGGGAAGTGGGGCAGCCAGGACGTGAACTGGTACCCATATGGGATTCACATGCAAGGTGAATATTTAGTGACTAATCTATTTAAAGGTCAGAATTAGAGAGAGAGGGATAGCTAGAGAGATCTGTCAGCTACTTAGCCCCCAAGTGGCTGCAGTGGCTTCATCCTGGTCTTACATGGTACAGGGTCCCAAGCCTTTGGGCTATGTGGAACTTTTTTTCCAGGTCTTCAGTAGAGACCTGGATTGGAAATGGTACAGCTGGAACTTAAACTGGCACCTACAAGGCATGTTGGTGTCTTAGGTGGTAGCTTTATTCACTAGACCACAGTAACCTCACCACTCAAGTGAATTCTGAAATTAACTACTGAAAAAGTTCTAGTGAATGTCCTTGTTGATGTGGAAGTATTTATGGTAGATATTTAATCCTAAACCAAACAGAGAAAGGGAGAAGAGTACTACATAAACAGTTCAGCACTCAGTAGGCATGTTTTTGAGGGTATAATATTACGATAGGTAAAGTGAGAATAAAAAGTGTTAAAGTAGACAAAGTTGAGAGTAGATTAATTGCTTTTATTTGGAGTTGCACCAATTTTTTGGCTCCTAAGAGCCAGCAGATGACTACCATCCTTTAAAAGCTAAGAAAGACATGTTATTACATATGGTGGCAGGAAGTAGCAGTTCTTGCATACTTTCTCAGTACATAAGGAGCTATTAACCTCTATTGCTATTTCACAATCTAGTGTTTTGTTTAAACTATACCTACAGTACATAATGCCGAGAATGATTTTAGGGTTGATTGATAGAAGAATTAGAGGAACTAGGTGGAATCATATTAGGGAGTGTTCACGTGTAAAGGATGGGGTTATGTTATTGATGTGATACATAAGTTTTCCTCGTTGGGTGGTGGAGCGTATGTAAAGAGTATAAAAGGCAGTGATTGGGGCCCGGCGCGGTGACGCAAAGTGGTTAAAGTCCTCCCCTTGCACGCCCGGGATCCCATATGGGCACCGGTTCTAATCCCGGCAGCCCCACTTCCCTTCCAGCTCCCTGCCTGTGGCCCGGGAAAGCGGTCAAGGATGGCCCAAAGCCTTGGGACCCTGCACCCGCGTGGGAGACCCGGAAGAGGCTCCTGGCTTCGGATTGGCATAGCATCGGCCGTTGCGCTCACTTGGGGAGTGAATCATCGGACGGAAGATCTTCCTCTCTGTCTCTCCTCTCTGTTTATCCTCCTTTCCAATAAAAACATAATAAAAATAAATCTTTATTAAAAAAAAGCATAAAAGACAATGATTAATATATTCATTCCTGCTAAGATAATTGTAAAGTTAGATCAAGAGAATGATGAGATAATTACGACTAGTTCTCCAGTTAGGTTAATTGAGAGGGGGTAGAGCTAAGTTTGCCAGGCTTGCTAGTAGTCATCATGCAGCTGTAAGGGGGAGAATGATTTGTAGTCCTCGGGCTAGAATTATTGTTCGGCTGTGAATACGTTCATAGTTAGTGTTGGCTAGACAGAATAATATAGATGAAGTTAGACCATGGGTGATTATTAGAGCTATGGCCCCTGTAAAGCTTCATGGGGTTTGGATTAGGATTGCAACAATTACAAGCACTATATGGCTGACGGATGAATATGCGATTAGAGACTTCAAGTTTGTCTGTTGTAAGCAGATAGAGCTTGTTATGATCATCCCTCATAGTGATAGGAGAGAAAGTGGTAGGCTGTGTACTCTGTTACTGGGTTTAGGATAACGGTTAGCTTTAGTAGGACTGCTGCTAGGACTATGGAGCCTGCAGTGGGGGCTTCTCTGTGGGCTTTGGGGAGTCACAGGTGTAGTCCATATAGGAGTATTTTTACTAGGAATGCTGTCATGCAGGCTAGCCATAGGAGGGAGTTAGATCATGAGTTGGTCAGGGGGTGGACTAATATTGGAATAATTAGAAAATTTAGTGTTCCTGTGGTGTTATGAATATAAAGTAGAGCTACTAGGTGGGGGAGGGATCCCACTAAGGTATAAAATAAAAAATAGGTTACTGCACTTAGTCGTCCCATTTGGTTACCCCAACAAGTAATGATAATAAGGAATAAGGGTGTTTTCAAATAGAATATAGAATAAAATCAGTTCAGTGGCTGAGAATGTTATAATTAGGAAGATTTGTAATAGGACTAGTATAGAGATAGCTTTTTTCGTGGTAGGCTTTGGAGAGATGGTTTTGGCTGGTTTAACCTATGATAACACATAACTTATTGTCTATTTTAGACTTTTTGTTCTATTCCCCAAGTTTTTTTTTTTTTTAAGATTTATTTTTATTGCAAAGTCAGATATACAGACAGGAGGAAAGACAGAGAAAAGATCCTCCACCTGATGATTCACTCCCCAGGTGAGCGCAACGGCTGGTGCCGAGCCGATCCAAATCCAGGAGCTAGGAACTTCCTCCAGGTCTCCCACGTGGGTGCAGGATCCCAAGGCTTTAGGCCGTCCTTGACTGCTTTCCCAGGCTACAAGCAGGGAGCTGGCTGGGAAGTGGGACAGCTGGGATTACAACTGGCGCCCATATGGAATCTCAACACACTCAAGGTGAGGACTTTATCAGCTAGATAAAGCTAGGCCACCCGCCCCAGCCTTCCCAAGGACTTTTTTAACCTGGAGAAGTTATCAGTATTTGTTTAAGGAATGAGTGATGATGATCTACTAACCCTTAGTGAAAATTTCTTAAACTGTCAAAATCCAGGTTTAAGAAATAATGATTGACAGAAAACCACCAACTGTTGCTTTAGTTTTGAGAACATATTCCCTAGTGTTACCACCTGTAACTTGTATTAACACCAACATCCAGTGCCATTGTTTTCTCAATTACAAGGCAAGAAGAACTCATTGGAATAGAACAGTGTGAAGTTGCATAGAAGCCTTATTTAGCCTAACCTTTTCATCTGGGATGATTCAGTTACTCCTTATGAAAGAAAACTGTAACAATTGTAATATGTGACCTTTTTAACACTTTAGAGATCAAATTGAAACTTTGTTTTTCAGTTAGGATATATATGTCTGTAATTGATATGTTAATAATTAATATGCTTGCATCTAATTTTATGTACCTGTGTACATAGATGTGTGTGTATAAATGTACATAAGGATTCATTTTAACTCTAGTTACTTAAGTGTCATGAAACCTAAAATGAAGCTTTTGAATCTTTTAGGGAGACACTAATTTGTATTATTTGTGTTTTTCTTCTTAGTTTCTGCCACTGCCTTCTACAAAGCACAACCTGTGATTCAGTTCATGTGTGAAGTTCTTGACATTCATAATATTGATGAGCAACCAAGACCTCTGACTGATTCTCATCGGGTAAAATTCACCAAAGAGATAAAAGGTGAATTAATTAGCATTTAGAACAACTTACCCATAAATTACATGCATATTATATCCTTTCTTTGAAAAGTTTTTGTAATTTATGTTGTAACATTACTTGTAGAAATTTAATTGTAACAAATTCATTGCTATCAAAAAAATTCATTTTGATCACATATTGGATAGTGTTTGAATGAAAGATATACCAAATAATGGAATTAATGTCACTAGCTAATTTTTTGTTATGCATTGAAAATGTGCCTATGATACTATTAAAAAAGGAAACTTATAAAAATATCGTTAGTTCAGAACTAGAATTGTTCTTTGAACATATTCTGGCAAAGTGACTTCCTTGTTTTTCTGAAATGCTGGATTAATTTTATTCCTTTTAAAATTTATGAAAATAGGGTAGCATGCTTAATGTGTATTTAAATTATGTGTATTATAGAGTTGATCATTGATACTCTAAATTTAATAGCTAAAATTGATCAGTGGTGCTATATCACATGTACATTTAACTCATGTAAGTTTGATTTCCCAAAATGAAAAAATTTTAATCGTATTCTAAAACTTACATTTTATATACTCTTTATATTATACATTTAGATACATATATATGGCTTTATATTCAAACCGATATAAGTTGTACTTTATCTGCAATTTTGACAGGATTTTAAAATAATTTTTGATAATGTGCAGTTCTTGCCTTATTGATGACTTTAGAACCCATAGTGATGATTTAGACATGAAGGGAAATTAGATGTTCTCTAATCAGGATGAGTAGTCTAAAATCCTCTTTAAGTATTAGTTCTTAAATATCTAGAAATAATTATGCTGTTTTATTTTAAAAAATGACCTATTTATTGCAGAAAATGTCCAGCTTGTGGTGTGAATGAAGCATTCAAGCTTGTTCCCTGAACATCCTCAGTTCTCCAAATTAGAGTAGCAGAATGGTTCAGTAATCAGTTCATTTTTTTGTCATTCAATAACCAAGAGAGAGTCATTGTAATAAAACCTTAGAAGGAAAATTTTTCCTTCTTACAAATAAGCATCCATTTATCTCAGATTATTTAATTGCCCAAATAAGACGCTATTAAATGTAACTGTTTGCAGTCACAATCATTGTCTGTTCATAATCTGTGTTAACTGCACAGTTGACGTCAGGAGGGTAGCACATTATCTCCCGTTAGGGTGTGATTATCTAAATGCCGCCGTACCCAGTAGAGTTGCTGCTTAGTTACCACCTCTGCTTTCATGAAGTCACCTAGTTATTTCGCGGTAACTATGCGATCAACTCATATCACCACTCTATCACCGAGAGCACGAGATGTACCGAACCAGGGTTCAGCTGCCTCCCGAAGAGCATGGACTCGAGCTTAACTTCAGCTGCTCAGAGGCCCAAAGAAATGACTGAAAAATCACTAGAAAGCATGTTAAAGTTGATGTTATAGTGAAGGTAAAGCCAAGTTTTTAGGTTAAATATTTATTAAAACCAAATTTTTTTTGGTTGGATGGAAGGTTTTGGGAGGGACTTGGGCAGAGTTTTAAAGTCCCAGCTTTTTCCTAGTCCCTGGATTTTATTCTAATTCTTAAACTCCTATAATACTAAATTTGGTGTGAAAATATCTGAATTGTATCTTTTTAGTAGGTAATTTTCTTTTTTTTTTTAAAGATTTATTTTTATTATTTTTGTATTGGAAAGGCGGATATACAGAGAGGAGAGACAGAGAGGAAGATCTTCCGTCCCATGGTTCACTCCCCAAGTGAGCGCAACAGGTCGATACTATGCCGATCCGAAGCCAGGAGCCTCTTCTGGGTCTCCCACGCGGGTGCAGGTTCCCAAAGCTTTGGGCTGTCCTCGACTGCTTTCCCAGGCCACAGGCAGGGAGCTGGGAGGGAAGTGGGGCTGCCGGGATTAGAACCGGCGCCCATATGGGATCCCGGGCGTGCAAGGCGAGGACCTTTAACCACTTGCGCCACCGCACCGGGCCCAGTAGATAATTTTCTTCTCCATTCAGAGTCCACAGGGCCTTTTTTCAAAGAGGGCTCTTGAATATATATCATGTATTCCCAGCTCAGCAACTCAAGAGCATCAGAATTTTGAATTCTGTCCTGTATACCTGGGTTTAAATTTTAGCTGGCATGAGAAATTTACATAGAAAGTTTGTATGTAATGAATAGGTTTTTAAAAAATCTCCAAATCCCAGTTGAACTTCTCCCTAATCATTTGCTAATAACTTTATGATTTTTTGTTTTTGTTTTTGCTCAGTAATTCATAGTAATTAACAACAGAAACAGAAAGGGTTAAAGTACTACAGTATAAAAAAGTGCCAATTTATTTTTTATAAAAGCATATTTAGTAGGTAGTACAAATAGCAAAAAATATTTTTAATTTTTCTATTTCATTTTTTCCCCTAAACATAACATTATTATGTTGCTTATTTTATTTTTTTAAGGGTTATTTTATTTATATCGCAAAGTCAAATATACAGAAAGGAAGAGAGAGAGGAAGATTTTCCATCCAATGATTCACTCCCCAAGCGGCTGCAATGGCTGGTACTGCACTGATCCAAAGCCAGGAGCCCAGAGCCTCTTCCAGGTCTCCCACACAGGTACAGGGTTCTAAAGCTTTGGGCTGTCTTCAGCTGCTTTCCCAGGCCACAGGCAGGGAGCTGGATGAGAGATGGGGCTGCTGGGATTAGAACTGGCACCCATATGGAATCCCGGTGTGCATAAGGCGATGACTTTAGCTGTTAGGTTACTGCGCATATTATTAATATTTTTGTTTTTTAAAGCCTTCCCACGGATTTTCTATTATCCTTTGCAGAATAAAGCCATAATTATTTAATTGATATTAAATATTAATTTTATAAAGATTGTTACAATAAAAAAAAACTACTTCTTACTGATTAAATTAAGAGTATATCTCAAGAAAACTCTATATCCTATAGTAGAAGCACAGTATGTCCATTTAATGGCTAGCTTGGGCAAATAGAAGAAAATACTACTTACTAGTTAGTAGTTAGATAAACTGGTATATTCACTAGCAGGATTTCTCAAACTTGGCACTATTGATATAGTGGACTGGATAGTTCTTTGTTGGTGTAGAGGGTAGTACTGTTCTTGCATTGTAGGCTATGCACTAGATACCAGTAACATCACCCCTTCCCCCACTTGTGATAATTTAAAATGTCTTCAAATATCACCAAATGTCCCCTAAGGGCCAAAATTTCTCCATTCAAAACACTGCACAGTAGGAATCATAAATATAAAAAAGAACTTGGGCCAGGTGCGATAGCATAGTGATTAAAGACCTCACTTTGCACATGCCAGGATTCCATATGGACACCGGGTTTAATCCCGGTGGCCCCGCTTCCCATCCAGCTCCCTGCTTGTGGCCTGGGAAAACAGTTGAGGACAGCCCAAAGCCTTGGGACCCTGCACCTGCATGGGAGACCCGGAAGAGCTCCTGGCTTCTGGCTTCAGATTGGCTCAGCTCCAGCCGTTGCAGTCACTTGGAGAGTGAACCATGGGACGGAAGATCTTCCTCTCTGCTCCTCCTCCTCTGTATATCCACCTTTCCAAAAATAATAAATAAATAAATCTTTTTTTTAAAAAGAACTAATACAAACCCTAATAAGTATAAATATTATCAGAGAACTTAACGTGTCCTCCATTTATCCGTTTTTCAATTCTCATTCTTTGGAATCTAGATCAAACTTCAAAAATGGAGGTGCTTCTTTATGACCAGTAGTCTTTATATGCCTGATTGCTAACTTGTCTCTGTTTAATTTTTAAATAGCATAATAAAAGAGCTGTCACGGTATTATACTTCAACAAAATTGTCATTCACTTTTGTTAAAAGTTCGTGGCTTCAAAATTGTACTTGTGTACACAAGTGTGGTAGCCATTGGTCTTATGTAATTATTTCAACTTTTATTAGAAATTTCAGTTTCTCAGATGTTTAAGCCACATTTCATGTGCTCATTAACACATGTTACTAGTAATTGCCTGTTAGCACGGATGTGGAACATTCCATCATCTCAAAACTAATTGTGTTTTATAGCACTTCTTAAGCAAATTCATTCACAAGAATGTCAGCAGATAGTTGAAAGCCCATTTCTTCACTTTCTCTGTAGAGCAAAGCTCGGATCCTCAAGTGGCTAGTCTGTAGATGGACCACAGGACTCCTTAGGAACACCTAAAATCATCTCTAAGCTGTGTCTCTGCACATAGTTTACGTCTCTGAGAGTTTATTGCTTTCATCGGATTCTCAAAAGGGTTAGTGACTGTAAGAAGAAAGGGATCACCTGCCTTAAGAATTATTTTGGTTATATTTGATTTCCTGTAATCAATATTGTAAAAGAATTATATCATTATATTATACTTTAAAAAGAATAAAGGAGGTGCTGTCATTTCTTTCTTCCTGCATTGTAAAACTTTGAAGGGATTTCTCCTTGAACTTTAGGAACTTCATTCACTATGTGATGCCTAGGCTATTAAAATATCACATACTCTGAAGGTTATAAAATGCCTTGAGTATTGTTGCAATTCCTCTTTTATTTCCTTTTCCTGGGATAAATACCTGACTTTATTTTGTTATAAGCAATTTTTTTAAACTAATGAATAATTTTGTTTCTTGATATATGAGCTTTGAAAATGTTATGATTCTATTTTTATTTAATGGAGCTTGATAGAGTAGAGGAAAAGTGTGAAGTCTAATTATGATTGCAGCTGCTATTTGCAATATTATAAATAAAACCCTTTGTTCATTTCACATGGCCTATATCACAGATTTTCTCTATCAGAATTGAATTTTATAGCAATGAGAACAGGCTTTATTAATATAAATATTTTACATGTGACAATTTGTAACTCCTGCTTATTTATTGGGTACAGGTCTGAAGGTTGAAGTGACTCATTGTGGAACAATGAGACGGAAATACCGTGTTTGTAATGTAACAAGAAGGCCTGCCAGTCACCAAACGTAAGAAAAGCTGGTATTTGTCAGAGCAGGGACAATGGGAAGCACCTTGCTGTAAGTGGGTTGGGATTTTTGCTGGCTCATGAGTGGGTAAGAGTTAATGCTCACTTTGTTTTTTCAGCTTTCCTTTACAGTTAGAAAATGGCCAAACTGTGGAAAGAACAGTAGCGCAGTACTTCAGAGAGAAATATACTCTGCAGCTGAAATACCCACACCTCCCCTGTCTGCAAGTGGGGCAGGAGCAGAAGCATACCTACCTGCCCCTAGAAGTAATGCCTTTATGCTGCTTGTTAAGATCTTCTCCTTCACTCTCCTTTTAGGGTTTTTCGTGGCCTGTAACCTACCTCATATTCTCACATTTATTTCAGAATATAAACTATTCTGAAAATTTATTTAAATTTTTCTACAGTGAATAGATATGGAAAAAGTTCATTCATACTGTAATGTAATCACTGTTAGCATTTATCCTGTGTACTATTTTTATCCTGTGTACCGTTTTTCCTCTTTATAATCATCTTATCTAGAATTATGTTGACCTCTCTTACCTAACATGATATTGAAAAGCAGTTTAATGAAGTAAATTTAAAGTTTTTATTTCACATATAATTGGTATTGAACAAGAGCTCAAAAATAGATTTTTATATTTAGTGTAATACTCTTTTTCCTCTTGTAGGTCTGTAATATTGTGGCAGGGCAACGATGTATCAAAAAGCTAACAGACAATCAGACTTCCACTATGATTAAGGCAACAGCAAGATCTGCACCAGATAGACAAGAGGAAATTAGCCGATTGGTTAGTATTCAACTGTAGAAATGAGAATTTAAAACATGTTACGTGTAGAGGGATGGCATTTAACTAGTGGTTCAGTCCTGCCAGGGCCCCCTATCAGAGCACCTGGATTAAATCCCTGACTGCAGTTCCTCATTCATCCTCTCTCTTTATTTCTCTCTCTCTCTCTCTCTCTCTCTGCCTCCCTCCCTCCCTGTAACTGCATTTCAAATAAATAAAACTTTAATCAGTCCATACTGTATTACCATCTCATTGATTATAGAATCATAAAAATAATCTGGAAATAACCCATAGAAAAGGGCAAGATCCTCCTAATATAACTATAAACTCTTTCATTAGATCCAGGGAAGAGATTCTGTTTGAACTCATGTTTCAGTTAACTGAGTTGGCACCTCCACTTAAAGGAGGAAAGAAGAAAAGCCGAGGTGTTATGACCAGCAACACTGCAAGTCCTAACACAGTCTAAGGTTGCTTGGTTCCCAGCATCAGACTGGTAGTTGTACAGTCTAAATAAAGAAATGAAAGATATCTTTAGTTTTAATCTCTATAAAGGATAGATTGGGGTGTGTTTTTTGGTGCTACGAGTTAAACTGCCACTTGGGAGGCCTGCATTTTACATCAGAGTGGCTGGTTGGAGTCCCAGCTACTCCAGGCTTCTGATTCAACATCCTGCCGATTTTCCTAAAAGGCAGCAGTGATGGCCCAAGTTTCTGCCACCCACATAGGAAACCAAATGAACTTCCTGGCTCCTGACTTCAGTTTAGCCTAGCCCTGACTGTTGCAAGTATTTAGGGAGTGAATCAGCAATGAAAGATCTGTCTGAGGTACATTTATACTGTCTCTCTCTCTCTCTCTTTCAAATGAAAACAAGATTTTTAAAAAGTAATTTCCTAGGTATAAGATAATTGTGAAAATTAATTGCTAAGTGCTTTGCACTAAGCATGTCACACAGCAAGTCTTGGTAAACGGTTGGTTTTTTTAACCTTACCCTGGAGATACATACCAGAAATGAATGGTACTTAAGCCTTAAGAAACATATGCATTAGTTTAGAAAATTGGAAATTCTTGCTTATTGTGAGAGGATTCTGTTTACTTTTATTAATTCACTTTTATTAAAATTTAATTTATTTGTATTTAAAAGGTAGAGTTAGAGAAGGAAGGACAGAGAGAGAGACCTTTCATCAGTTGATTTCACTCTCCAAATGGCTGCAATGGCCAGAGGTGGGCTTGTCCAAAGCCACAAGTCAGAAGATTCTTTCAGATTTCCCATGTGGATGCAGGGGCCTCCGCTGCTTTCCTTGGCCTTTAGAAGAGAGCTGGATGAGAAGTGGAACAGCCCAGAGAGGAGCCGGCAGCCATATGAGGCACTGATGTCATGGATCCTGCCCCTGGATATGTAGCTTTTTTTAATGGACTTTGACTCACAGACTTGAACATCGACTTTTTTTGATAACCCTCTTTAACCTTCATTCTGAGAACAATTTGGTATGTTTTTTAAAAAAAAAAAATCAGTTAATGTAACATGAGTTATAATAAGATCCAATAAATTCTTCATCTTTAACTGGACTTACTGATACATTGTGTTAAATTGCAGCCCATGACTCATATAATTCTTGTTGTTTTTAAATTATTTTTAAAGGTTAATTATTTTAAAAAATAAATCTTTAAAAAACAGAGTTATAGGGCTCGGCATTGTAGCCTAGTGGCTAAAGTCCTCACTGGGCGTGCACCTGGATCCCGTATGGGTGCTGGTTCGTGTCTGGTGGCTCTGCTTTCCCATCCAGCTCTCTGCTTGTGGCTCAGGAAAGTGATCGAAGATGTCCCAGGCCTTGGGACCCTCCACCCACATAGGAGTCCCCGAAGAAGCTCCTGTCTCCTAACACTTCAGATCCCCTCAATCCCAGCCGTTGCAGCCACTTGGGGAGTGAATCAGCAGACGGAGAATCTTCCTCTATCTCTCCTCCTCTCTGTATATCTGACTTTCCAATTTAAAAGATAAATAAATATTTTTTCAAAAATTTATAGAGAGAGAAGGACAGGGAGAGAAATAATTCATCTGCTGATTCACCCCCACATAGCCACAATGGCCAGAACTGGTCCAGACCAAAACCAGTAGCCAGGAGCTTCTTCTGGATATCCCATGAGGATACAGGGGTCCAAGGACTGGGCCCTCCTCTACTGCTTTTCCAGGCTGTCAGCAGGGAACTGGATTGGAAGTGGAGCAACCATACTCACACCTATACCCATGTGAAATCCTGGTGCCTCAGAGGCTTAAAATACAACCCCATGGCACCAGCCCCTCATGTTGCTTTTCTTATCTGAAGTATACCCCATTAAGCATGCTTCATAGTATGTTACTTTTTATCTGAAAATACTAAATTTTATGTAAATTGTAAATCAAGTCATTAGAAAAGAAGCTTTAGGGCCCGGTGCCGTGGCATAGCAGCTAAAGTCCTCACCTTGAATGCACTGGGATCCCATATGATCGCTGATTCTAATCCCAGTGACCCCGCTTCCCAACCAGCTCCCTGCTTATGGCCTGGGAAAGCAGTCAAGGATGGCCCAGAGCCTTGGGACCCTGCACCCGCCTGGAGACCCAGAAGAAACTACTGGCTCCTGGCTCCTGGCTCCTGGCTTCAGATCAACTCAGCTGTGGCCATTGCAGCCACTTGGGGAGTGAACTAGTGGCAGATCTTTCTCTCTGTCTCTCCTTCCCTCTTTTGAAAAACAAAGCTTTAGACCAAATTTTTTAAGTGAGGTACTTTTATCTCCCTCCCAAATGTATTAGGCTCAGTTATGTAAGTTAGGAGTCATAAGTTGTTGAAATTTCTTAGTCTTCAACCTAATATATTCCTTAAATATTATAAAAATTAACAAGAATTTACAGTCTTCCTGTTAATGTCTTCATGATCCATGATCCTCAGGTTAAGAAATTGTGTTCTGTAGTTAGTGACTGTTGATTAAACCCATTGTAAAACATACAGTTGACACAGGGACAAAAGCAAAGATGATTGTCATGGTTAAAGATCAGGGGGGTTTTGAGAGTTAACTGCAAACTTTTACTCTTGATAGGTAAGAAGTGCAAACTATGAGACAGACCCGTTTGTTCAGGAGTTTCAATTTAAAGTTCGGGATGAGATGGCACATGTCACTGGCCGCGTACTCCCAGCGCCTATGCTCCAGTATGGAGGACGGGTAAAACCTCTTCACATGTTAATCACGTACATACAGCTTGTAAGTATGGAGATAAGGGCATCCTAGCTCAGTTTGAAATTTATAAAGGTATGTTTTACTTTTTCAACAGCACACGTTTTTGTTTTAAGATGAGAGTCTTTGCTAGACTGTAGTGAAAGCTTTAGTTTTTTATATAACATCAGCCTGAAAGCCCATTCTATGTCCAATATCAGAAACATATCAGTTCAGTGACTTTGACATGCTTATTTTTAGCTCACTGAAATAAGTGGCTTTTATTTTTATCTACCATGTTTTTTCTCTTTCTCTCTCTTTGGCAGAATAGAACAGTAGCAACACCAAGCCATGGAGTATGGGACATGCGAGGAAAGCAGTTCCACACAGGAGTTGAAATCAAAATGTGGGCCATTGCTTGTTTCGCCACACAGAGGCAGTGCAGAGAAGAAATACTGAAGTAAGGCATGTCATGACTTAGGTTTAGTGCTTTTTTTTGTGTTTGGATTTTAAATGACTCATCTAGTGTTCTAACATGTCTCAGTGTGTGGGATCGTTCATCACTGAACCTTTCAAAGCATTTTTTTTTTGATACTTTGATAAAGATTTTTGAATCCATTAGTTATATGAAGAATCATTAATTTATTCTTCTAGACATCCTGAAAGACTAACTTTTGTGTTGCAGCAGCATTATCTTTTGGTGACAAATAGGTTATATTTAATTCTCAGCTTTGCCACTTCCTGACTTTAGTGCTATAAATAATTTAATTCCTTCTTCAGGTTTCACCTATGTAAAATAGGGATTGTAGTCCCTGAAGCCAGGTGAGGATAGATCCTGATTTCTCAACTGAGGCTCTTGAAAAAGTGGTTAGACTTCTTTTTCTATTTACTTATTTTCCAAAGTTTGACCTTCACCATCACCACTTTTTCACTTTCCTCAGATTCCTATCTTGAATTCTTAGGTACTAAACAAACTTCTGTTAAAATTTTTTTAATCTGGAATCTTTAATTTATCTGACAGTATCTCGGGCCCCAAAATTCTACTCCTCCTCCTCCCTTAAAATCTTATGGCTCTGTTCTAACTGGTTCCTAGAGAATCTCCAAGATTTCTCTCTAGGCCACTGGTTTTCTCTAAATAGAAAAGTACTTGAAAAAGTTTGTGGAAAATGGGACTAAATATTTATTCTGGTACCCAAAAAAAAAATGTGAAATCCATGCAGTTTTTTTCATAAAATACACTTTGTATGAACATTTGTGAAGACCCTTCCTCTGTGAAGCACACAGATCTTTGTTTTGTCCACCGTTCCTTTCCCAAACTTTCCACTAGTGGTTTATGTGCATTTGATGACTAGACAGAAGTTTCATATCTAGTGGTTTCTGCTAGGGGCTTCACAGACCAGCTGCGGAAGATTTCCAAGGATGCAGGGATGCCTATCCAGGGCCAGCCCTGCTTCTGCAAGTATGCACAGGGTGCAGACAGTGTGGAGCCCATGTTCCGGCATCTCAAGAACACCTACTCAGGGCTGCAGCTCATCATCGTCATCCTGCCAGGAAAGACACCAGTGTATGGTAAGGATGCCTTAAGGCTGCATTTTTCCTCAAACACTTGATATTCCTTTTAGTAATATACTAAAACGTATTCTAAAACTTCTAAGTATTAAAACATATATTTTGTTATAGTAATTACTTTAAGACAAACCAGTACTAAATGATTCAAGAAGTTTACCCTGTGAAAAGAATTTCAGCAGCTAAAAATGGTACTTACGGGAATAATTATTCAGTAAAAACAGCTGAGATAATTTGAGTGTGGGAATCTAATGTAACATTTAAAAACATAGGTTCTGTTATCATGCTGCATTATGCAGGATTTTGGTATTCCCAGTTGTATTACCTGAGTGATTTGACTAAATTGCTTGGTAAACCTGTTTGTTCATCTGTAAAACTGCAATATTAATAATAACTTAACCTGAATATTCAATAGTTATAAGGATTAAATCTTACCTATACATATGTTAAGGGCTAGTACTCAGTATATGTTGGTTATTATTGTAAATTAATTTTTGTGAAACTTAAATCACTGAATCATAGAAGAACATGAAGAAAGCATTATTTTCTAACCACTGTGCAGTGTAAAATCATTTGATTCTAGATATTATGTAAGAAGTAACAAGAGAAAAGTAGGTGGTTTAAGGACAACAGCAGGTTCTGGGCAGCCTGTGTTAGACTGCCATTGCAAGTCCTCACTGCTGTGCTTCTCATCCAGCTCCCTGCTAATGCGCATAGTAAGGCAGTGGAAAACGGCCCACTTGCTGTGCTCGCTTCGGCGGCACATGTACTAAATGGCCCTCTTGCTTTGGACCTTGCTATCCATGTGGAAAACCAGGATGGAGTTATAAGCTCCTTGGTTTCAGGCGCAGTCCCAGCCATTATAACCATCTGAGAAGTAAATCAGTGGGTGAAAGATTATCTTTCTTTCTCTTTCATTCTGCCTTTCAAGTAAATAAATCTAGAAAGAAAAAGGAGAGGAAAGAGGAAATTCTGTAAGAACATATTGTATGTGCCACCACCCCCCCCAAAAAAATATGAGATTTATATTTTCTAGGGCTGGTGTTTGGCAAATTGTAAGAACCCTTGATATTCTGATTATTAATCTCATCATTAATATATCTTACAAATGTTTTCTCACATTTGGGGGATTACTTTTTTATTCTGTTGATAATGTCCTTGGATACACAAATGTGATAGTTTTCATGAATCCCAATTTATTTATTTGCTTTGTTATTGCTTAGGCTTTTGTTGTCATATTCAAGAACTATCATCAAATCCCATGCTGTGAAGCTTCCCTCTGTGTCCATCTAAGAGTTTTAGTTAGTTTTACTTTAGTTTTATTTATTTTTTATGTTGTTTATATAGTTGACTGTAAGGCAGCCCCATGAGGACCATCGAATAGGGTAGGGAGGGTCACTATACAGAGGAAGATGGGTCCATTGGCTGACAGAGTCAACCCTAGTGCTCTACTCATACACCTGGGCATGCCATCCACTGCACTGGCATCAGCAATCGAGGAGGCCCAGTCCTTGAAACATGCATTCCAAGGTCAGACCACAAATTCTAGGATTCTCCCTGTGACTAGAATTTTGAGTACAGTGGCCCATTTTGGGAGTCCTCCAAGAAACCTCACCTGGTCTGACCCCAGACCTGGCTCTTAACAAATGCCAGCCAATACAGGGTTTGGTTTAGTCCGTCATCCATATAAGCCTGCCCACATGTTTTTTATTGTAATTGCCTGGTCAGTTCCATCCCTAGCACCATATTCCATGCAAATCAACAGGTGTTGCAGGACAGTCCAGCCCAGTGTTCCACACACCTGGCCCCTTGCATACACCAGAGGGAACTGCAGCCTATCTGGGATAATCCTCAGTAATCCCTACCAGACTCACCCCCAGCCCTGGTTCCTTTGGATGCCAGGTGTGCAGCAAACTAGTCCAGTCAGTGCCTCATCCCAGGCAGGTTCTCATATATACCTATGGGTATTGTAGTTTAGCTCAGCCCACCCCATCCCAGGTATGCTAATGTGTGCTACTGTCTTATCCAGCCTGGCCTGCCCCCAGCCCTAGCGTTCATGCAAAGCTTCAGCCCAGCAGAATGCCCACAGTTTCCCTAGTAGGCCCAGTCCCAGATCTTGCACTTTCCAGGGGATACTGTGGACAGTTCTGACTCAACTTGCAGCCTGTCGCAGCACTTGCCTAGTGGTTTCTGCAGCAGTCTAGCCAGTTGACACTTATCCTGGCCCTTGCATGTGCCAGTGAATTCAGTGGCCTGACCTAGCCCAGCCTCCCCCCAACCTAGCTCACATGCAGGCCAGCAGTTGTCGTAGTGCTGCCCACAGTGTGTTGCAGCTTGGTGTATCCCCAGTCCCTGCTGTCACACTCACCAGCAAGAACAATGGCCCAGCAGAGGAATTCCACAGCCTCCCCATCAGTTCACTCTTGGCCTGGGGTCTTACATGTACCAGTGGTGTTGTGGCCAAGTCTGGCATGGCGCATCTCACCCCAGCATTCACCAGTGGGTGCTACAACCTGGCTCCGCTAAGCCTGCCCACAGTCCCAGCTCTTTCTGAGGGATCCTTAAGCCTAGCCAGCGCAGCCATTTCTGGCCTAATGTGTGAACTAATGGGTGTTGTGTCCCAACCTGGCTGGCCTGTACCCCGCTCTGACTCTCACACCTGCCAGTGGGTTTTGCAGACTAGCCCAGCCCAGTCCTCCCCCAGACCTGACCCACATGTATGTTGATGGATACTGTGGCCCAGCCATTGGGGCCATTTGGTGATTGAATCAGGAGGTAGAATACCTTTTTGTCTATGTCTCCCTGTATATGTGAATCTGCCTTTCATCTTTTAAAAAAATAGATAAATGATGAATAAAACATCTGTAGGGTAAAGCATACAGTTACAAGAAAGTAAGTAAGACTAAGGGTTGATCCTAGAAGTTGTGCATATCTATCAGGGTCCAGTATTTTATTTTTATTTAAAAGGTGGATCTACACAAAGCAGGAAAGAAAGATAGAGAGGTCTTCCATCTGCTGATTTGCTCCCCAAATGGCCTCAACAGCTGGAGCTGAGCCAGTCTGAAGCCAGGAGCCTTCTCTGGGTCTCCCACATGAGTACAGAGTCCCAAGGACTTGAACCATCCTCCACTGCTTTCGCAGGTGATAAGCAGGGAACTAGATGGGAGGTGGAGCAACCGGGACATGCACTGGCACACTATGAGATGCCCGCACTTGCAGGCATGCATTAGCCAGTCAAACCAGTATGCCAGCCCCAGTTGTTTCCATACCCTGTGGTATTGAAAATAGAATGACTGCTGCTGCTATCAATAGTAAAAGCAGCCTGGGGCTCAGCACGATGACTCAGTAGTTAAATCCTTACCTTGTAAATGCCAAGATCCCATAGGGGCACCAGTTCGTGTCCCATCTACTCCATCTCCTATATAGATGAGAGAAAAAGATCCAGAAGATCTTTCTCCTCCATAAATTTGATCTTCCTTTCGAATACAAATAATAAGTCTTTTTTAAAAAAAAAAAACAAGAATAAAAGTAGTCTGTACATAGAGATGGAGAACACATTGTATTAAGTGAAAATGACAAGCTGAAAAATAGCACAGGATCCTATGGAAATCTGTGGGGAAAAAAACAGGGACATTTTATTCTTTTATTCTGCAGTTTCTCTGCTTTCTTAAAAATAACAGGATTGAAAGCTATCAGTGTATCATAATTATAAATGCATTAAAAAATTAGAAAATTACTTGGCAAGAATACAGTAAAGTGATAAACAGAATTATGTATAATTTGCTTTATATTATTTTGATTACTGTGCTTATTCTATTTTTAAAATGGTTCTAATGGGAAAGAAAAATAATTTTCCCTGAGTCTACTAATTTATGTTTTGGACAGATTCCTGTAACAAAAATACAGATTTATAAAGAAAACAAAACCAGTAGATTAACACATTACTGTGTTCACATTATGTGTGAAAAAATTGAAGGCAAATCCTTAGGAGTTTGGCTTACACACCATATTTAATACAGAGCAATTAAAAAAAAATAGCAGTCCCAGGTTTTCAGAGATGAAAACTGTAGGAAGTTAAATGTGCAAGAGAATGCTAATGGAATAAAATTGGCTCCAAGATTCTTCTGAACTGATAAAGTTTAAAGAGGAATTTACATCCGGCCTTCAGTCTAGAAAAATAAGGGCAGATAAAAAAGGCCCTTTGCCATTGTAGCTCTGTCTTATTTTTGAACAAACTGAAAGAGAAGGCAGAACTCCACTCTGCATCTTAATGCTCTTCATTCAGTAATCATTCAAATTTGGGGTAGGCATATTCTGGTTTCTCTCAGTAGGAAAAGCACACTTTTTGATAGAAAAGAGGAAAAAATACAAATCTGTCATTTAACATATAAGTTAATCTTCATGGCAGTATATTTTAAAGTTTTAGCCTTATTTTAGTTTTGATGTCATTTTTAATGCCCGATGATGCAGTTTCAAGAAAGGTGTCTTTGTTTTTGTTTTTGCAGTTAGTACATTTATTTTTCACATCTTTTTGACAAGAGATATTTGCATTTGTTCCATAGCTGAGGTGAAACGTGTGGGAGATACACTTTTGGGGATGGCTACACAATGTGTTCAAGTCAAGAACGTAATTAAAACATCTCCTCAGACTCTCTCAAATTTGTGCCTGAAGATAAATGTTAAACTTGGAGGGATCAATAACATTCTTGTACCTCATCAAAGGTAAGATAAGCTTTTTAATAATTTATGCAAATTTTCATAGTTTTCATTTACGTTTTTCCAAATACAGCCATAACTACCTTAGAATGTGTATGAGACCTCGCATTAATTATTCCAGCCATGGGAGATAACCTAGACATTTTAATTATGAAAAATTAAGATAGTTTTGATTTAAAATGATAAGAGATTTCTTTTAAAGATTTATCTTTCACACACACACCCAACCCTTTACATTTAGTGTGCACAAAGTACCTCCTGCCTAGCAGAAAGTGTTGAGAATTTAATGATTTAATTTTAATTAAAATCAAGTTCAATCCAGTATCTTTCATAAAGCCATTCATTTATTTAGAATGTGAGAATGAAAAGAATTGGATGAACATTTGGTTAGTCAAGTAAGTAAACCATATTAACCATATCACAGTCAATGAGACAACAGCTGCTGCTGTTGGATGGCCTTCATAGAACTCTTAAGAAATATGTGACATTGTGACCTAGAAACAGGAAGTAGCCCATTCTTTAGGTCACTGGGGAAAAGTCAGTTATTTGAGAACTTGGAACAGGTTCTCTTAATATTTGAAACAACTGGGACTGAAAAAATTGTCTTGACCCTCTACAGCAGAAATGAGTTTCAGAATAAAGGTTGACCTACCTGTATTAGACACAAAGCCTTTTGCCCCTGCTTTTTCCTCCTGTCTCTGCTTCCTGTCCCTGTTCATATGAGATGAACAAATGAAGTGAATGTAGAACTGAATCAACAAGTCTATAAATTAAGGCAAAGTATTTTGGAACTTAAAGGCTACTTTTTTTTTTAAAGGGGAGAGCATCCAAGTAATTGGAACATCTTCCACTCACTCTCCCGAAATTTTAATAGGAAGCTAATCCAGGAACAGAGTACCTGGAACAGCACTCTGGGAGCCAGTGCTGTGGTATTCCTGGTGAAATTGCCATCTGCAACACTGGCATGTTACGTGGGCACCAGCTCATGTTCTGCTGCTGCACTTCCAATCCAGTACCCTGCTCATGGCCTAGGAATAGCAACAGAAGATGGCCCAAGTACTTGAGCCCCTATCACCTGAGTGGGAAACTGGAAAAAGCTCCTGGCTTTTGGCTTCAGCCATCTAGAGGATGAACCAGCAGATGGAGGATATCATTCTCTCTTCCCTTATGTCTGTAACTCTGACATTCAAGTAAATAAATTATAAGGTCTTAAAAAAAAAAGAGCATAGAAAGCAATCTGATCCTGCATGTCAGCATCACAGGTGGTGGATTAACATATTATGCCACAATGAAGGCCATAAAGGATCTAATTTTAAAACAAAAGGATATATTAGAGGGCAGACATTTGACATAGCAATGTTTACACCCCACATGAGATCCCAGCTTGTGCTTTCAATTCCAGCTTCTTTCTTACGCGTTTCCTGGGAGTCAGTAGATGAGGGCCTGGATACTTGTATCCCCACCAGTCACATGGGGGCATCCTGCTATAGATCCAGGCTCCTGGCTTTGACATGGCCCAGCCTTGGCTAATGTGGGCATTTGGGAAGTGAGCTAACAGATGGAAGATCTCTCTCTGCCTGCCTTGTTTTCTGCCTTTTAGGTAAAATGGAAAACAAATTTAAGAGACTAGCTACTTTTTGACTTTTAAATTTGTTACTCAAATTGGCACTTGTCTTTTAGAACCACCAACACCACTGCTTAAGACAAAAACCTCTAAAGAAGACATTGAGCAGTCCTGTTACAATTTTTATGTCTTTGGGGATTCATCAATTAATAGTAACCAGAAGCTCAGGCCTATGAAGTTATCCACAAACCTCTGTACTTGTCAGTAACTTGCTACTTACATTACAGTCTTGTGAGACAGATAAATGGATAATGAAAAGATAAATTATCTAACCCTTTTAAAAATGTGTTTAAGACCATCTGTGTTCCAGCAACCAGTGATCTTTTTGGGAGCAGATGTCACTCATCCACCTGCTGGTGATGGAAAGAAGCCTTCTATTGCTGCCGTGAGTACTATTAGACAGGTTTATCTTATGTTAAGATGAGACCAGAAACAGGCAATCAGCCTTGTGGTTAAGAAGTCTAAATCCCTGAGGCGGACATTATAGTCTAGCATAATAAGCCACTCAGGGTATCTGATTCCCATCAGATTGCCTGGAATGGAGTCTCACTTTCACTTCTGATCCAGGTTCCTGCCAGTTTACCTGGGAAGCAGCAGATGATGGCCCAAGTCCTTGGGTTCCTGTCACCCATACAGGAGACCCAGATGGGGCTCCTGCTTTTAGCCTGACTCAGCCCCCAGCTACTGCAGACATTTGTAAAGGGAACCAGCAGATAGAAGACTGACCTCTCTGTCACTCTACCTCTCAAATAAGAAAATAACTTTTTAAAAATCCAGCTTTAGAACAACTTTGGGGTCAGCTCTTTTAATTTTAACGATATTTCTGTTGTAGCAAACTTTTATAAATGTTCTTTGAACGTTTTGGAAGAATGCTTATTCTGGTTTGGGGGTCTGCAGATTCCATGTATAATTTTATCTATGTTTTGTTTTATTTTTATTTGAAAGGCAAAGTGACAGAATCATGAAGAAATAAAGAGATCTTCCAGGCAACTGGATTCAAAGCTAAGGCAGGACTTATCCCAAGCTTAATATTATGAAATGCCCGAGTACCAAGCAGCAGCTTAACTTGCTATACCACAACAGTGACCGCTGTACTTATATCTGTTAAATCAAGTTTGTTTCTCAGATATTCTGTATCCCATGTTAATTTGTCTATTTGACCTCTCCATCATTGTGCATTTTCAGTTACTTTTCCTGTGATTTCAAAGAGTTTATATCTCATAGCATATTTGCTACAAAATATACCTTACATATACATTTGGTAGATTGCATTTTCTTTAGTATACATTGTCTTCTATATTCATCTACTTCAATACTTTAGGTCTAACTTTTTTAACATTGTTGCTCCTACCTTTAATATCTTCCTGGCTGTATATTCCTGTTATTGTAAACTTTTTGTTATTTTGCTTTTTAAAACAAAATTATTTAGGGCCCAGAGCAGTAGCCTAGCAGTTAAAGTCTTCACTTTGCACACCCTGGGATCCCATAAGGGCACCAGTTCTAATCCCAGCAGCCTTGCTTCCCATACAGCTCTCTGCTTGTGGTCGGGGAAAGCAGTGAAGAACTGCCCAGGGGCCCGGCGGCATGGCCTAGCGGCTAACGTCCTCGCCTTGCACACGCCAGGATCCCATATGGACACAGGTTCTAATCCCTGCAGCTCCACTTCCCATCCAGCTCCCTGCTTGTGGCTTGGGAAAGCAGCAGACGACACCTCAAAGCCTTGGGACTCTGCACCCGTGTGGGAGACCCGGAAGAAGTTCCTGGTTCCCAGCTTCAGATCGGCGCAGCACAGGGCGTTGCACTCACTTGGGGAGTGAATCATCAGACAGAAAATCTTCCTCTGTCTCTCCTCTCTGTATATCTAACTTTGTAACAACAATAAATAAATCTTTAAAAAAAAAAAAAAAAGAAGAAGAAGAACTGCCCAAAGCCTTGGGACCCTGCACCCACATGGGAGACCGGAAGAAGCTCCTGGCTCCTTGCTTCAGATCAGTGTAGCTCCAGCCATTGTGGCCACTTGGGGAGTGAATCAATGGACAGAAGATCTTCTTCTGTGTCTCTCCTCCTCTCTGTATATCTGACTTTACAATAATAATAAATCTTTTTTTAAAAATTTATTATTTTTATTGAAGAGGCAGATTTACAGAGAGAAAAGTCTTCCATTCTTTTTTTTTTTTTCAAAGATTTATTTTTATTATTTTTTCATTGGAAAGGCAGATATACAGAGAGGAGAGACAGAGAGGAAGATCTTCCATCCGATGATTCACTCCCCAAGTGAGCGCAACGGGTCGATACTACGCCGATCCGAAGCCAAGAGCCTCTTCTGGGTCTCCCACGTGGGTGCAGGTTCCCAAAGCTTTGGGCCGTCCTCGACTGCTTTCCCAGGCCACAGGCAGGGAGCTGGAAGGGAAGCGGGGCTGCCGGGATTAGAACCGGCGCCCATATGGGATCCCGGGCGTGCAAGGTGAGGACCTTTAACCACTTGCGCCACCGCGCCGGGCCCAAGTCTTCCATTCTTTGGTTCACTCCCCAAGTGGCTGCAACAGCCAGAGCTAAGCTGATCAGAAGACAGGAGCCAGCAGCTTCTTCTGAGTTTCCCATGTGGGTTAAGCCAAGGCTTTGGGCTGTCCTCTTATGCTTTCCCAGGCCACAAGCAGGGAGCTGGATGGGAAGTAGAACAACCAGAACACAAAATGACACCCATATGGGGTCCTGGCACATGCAAGGTGAGGATTTTAGCCACTGAGTCATCATGCTAGGCACTGTTAATTTGCTTTTATTTGTATTTCTTACAAATTTTGAAAATCACTTCAACAAGTGCAGATGTTTTTAAAATAGCAGCATATTTTAGACATAGCTGACAGTTTTCAGGAATTACGCTGCAAGGCTGTTTGTTTTCTTCTATCATGCATGCATTTTAACAAACTGGTAAATCTTCTGTAACTCTGAAAATTATATTGGAATGAGAATTTAGAATACACTTGTGACATTCAAACCCTCTGTAGAGTGCCTGAGTTTGAGTTTTGATTCAGCTTGCCACCCAATTTCCTATTAATGTGCGTTTTTGGAAGCAGAGTGATGGCAGAAGCACTTGGATCCCTGCCGCTTAGGTGAGAAACTTGTACGGAGCTCCAATCTCTGGCATAGTTCCTGGCATCTCAGCCAAACTTGGGCACCTGGGGCGTGATCCAGCAGATGGAATATCATTTTCTGTATCCGTTTACCTTTCAAATGAATAAATCTTGCAACAGGCCTTGTGGTGTTGTAGGTTAAGCTGCCCCTGGGATGGCCACATACCGAACCAGTGGAGTGCCCAGAGTCAAGTGATGCCTGTGCTTCTGACGCAGCTTCCTGCTCTGCACCTGGGAAGCAGAAGATGATCCATGAATTTTGGCCCCTTGCAGCATCCAGGAAACCTGAATAGATTTTGCTGGCTCTTGACTGTTATAGACATTTAGGAAATGAACCCATGGATAGAAGATCTCTGTCTCTCCCTCTCTTTATCAAAGTCTTAAAGTTTTTGTTAAAAGAAAATGATAATAGTAAATGTTTCTGCTAGTTTTCCACAGATTTTATGGATGAGTAAAATTGATTTTATTAACTTGTATTAATTTTTCCATAGCTTTCAAATTGTTTTTGATTTATTTGAAAGGCAGAGAGAAGCAAAGATCTTCCATCCACTGGTTTAATCTGCTAGAACCCAATCCAGATCTCCCTCATGCATGGCAGAGGCTCAACTCTGTGGACCTCACCCTCTGCTTCCGGGATGTGCGGAAGCATGTAGCGGGCTCAGACCCGTCACTCTGACCGGAGACTTGGAAATCCCCAGTGCCGTCTTAGCGACCACACTGACTTCCCACCACAGGAAAAGAATTTTTGATCCTATCGTGTATATTTTATTCTATTTTTCACTGGAGATTAGCTGTTTTTGATTATTCTCAAAGAAAATGTTATAAAACAATAAGATTACAATTAAATACCAATGTAAATGAAATCCATATATTTTATGCTAATTATGTATAATTTTCTTGTTGTTATTTTTTCCCACCTAGGTTGTTGGAAGTATGGATGCCCACCCAAGTAGATACTGTGCCACAGTTAGAGTGCAGAGGCCCCGGCAGGAGATCATTCAGGACTTAGCCTCCATGGTTCGGGAACTTCTCATTCAGTTTTATAAGTCGACACGGTTCAAACCTACTCGTATCATCTTTTATCGGGATGGTGTTTCAGAGGGGCAGTTTAGACAGGTTGGTTGCCTGGAATCCCATCAGACTTTGCTTGAATCAGATGCTGGGTTTGTAATATGGTTTCTAGTTCTTAAATTCAAAACATCAAGTTCCCAAAGTTAAAATTTGATTTTGCAGAGATTTTTTTTTCCTTTTCAAATGAATGTATATGCCCTGATTACTAAACCATGTTGTCATAAAAGTTAAAATGGAATAGAGATATATTTAGCTATAAAATGATGAGTTTAAGCAATTATGAGACTATTTTATATTTTTCTTTGAAGTGTATAAAATGGAACAAGTGACTGATAATCTTTCCATTCATCTCTAGGTTTTGTATTATGAGCTGTTAGCAATTCGAGAAGCTTGCATCAGTTTGGAGAAAGACTATCAACCTGGAATAACCTACATTGTAGTTCAGAAGAGACATCACACTCGGTTATTTTGTGCTGATAGGACTGAAAGGGTAATCAAACATTTGTTCATTTGTTATGTTACTGTCATAAGCTAAATTTGGTTCACATAATTCACAGAGCATTTAATAAGGGTTCTCTCCCAACAGCAGAGTTTCCAACATAGAGTACCAAATTTCAACTATTTTAGTATGAATAAAGAAGTATCCAAATAGGTTTGCATTTACTTTTTATATGTTAGAAAGGCAGAGAGAGAAAGAGATCAATCAGTCTTCACTGCTGAGTCACTAACTAAATGCCTTCAACAGCTGAGACTTGGCCAGGCCCAAATCATGCTCCAGGGAGTCCATCTACATCTTCCGCATGGGTGGCAGGAGCCCAAGCACTTGAGCCATCTTATGCTGCTTCCAGGTATGTTAGCAGGAAGCTGGATCAGAAGTAGAGGAGCCAGGGTTTGGCATTATAGTACAGCAGGTTAAGCCACTGTCTGTAGTGCCAGCATCCCCATGTAGGCACTAGTTCAACTCTCAGCCTCTCCTGTGAAAGCAGTGTTAGGCCCCTGCCTCCCACATGAGAGACCTAGGCTCCTAGCATCAGCCTGACACAACCCCAGCTGTTCCCAGGTATTCAGTTGTGAGCCAGCAGATAAGATAGTGTTTTCTCATCTCCTTCTCTCTCTTTTTGCCTCTCAAATGTCATTCCCTAGATCACACAACTAGAAAATAATGAAGCTGTGATATGAATCCAGGTATTGCTCTGTGTATCTAAACAAAATACACTTCACAAAAATTTTAATCAGCTCATGCACATTTTTACTTTGTTTTGTTTTTTAATTAGAATCAGAGAGAACGCTGTTTCACTTCCCCAAATGGCTGCAACAGCCGGAACTGAGCTAGACCTAAGCCAGAAGCTGGGAATTCACTCCATGTCTCCCACACTGGTGAGAGAGACCCACTAAATTACTTGGTTTATCACCTGCTGCCTCCCAAAATTCACATTAACAGGAGGCTGAAATCAGGAACCAGAGCAAAGAATCAAATTCGAGCACTCTAGTATGGAATGTGTCTTAATTAGGAGGCCAAATACTCCACCCCCACCGAGAGAACAACTTGAAAAGCAGAATTACAGAAAGAGGAGAAATGGCATCTTCTATCTGCTGGTTCAGTCCCCAAATGACCACACTGGCCAGAACTGAGCAGGTCCAAAGTCAAGAGCTTTTTGGGGACTCCCTCACAGGTCAGGAGCCCAAGGACTTGGGCCAGCCTCTGTGCTTTCCCACACCATTAACAGGAAGCTAGATCAAAATAAGAGCAACCAGGACTCAAACTGGCACCCATGTGAAATGCCCATGCTACAGGTGGAGGTTTAACCTACCATGCCACAGTGCTGGCCCCTAGAATATATAACTTTTGATAAGAAGTTTCTGTGTTGCCAAATTTATTAAAGTTTGGTATTTCTTTCTTTCTTCTTTTCTTTTGAGATTAGGTATAAGTGAGTAGATTATTACTGTTTTATTTTTAATAAGTTAATTTTATTTTTTGTGATGCTTACATAGTTGAGTGGAATGCATGCCCATATGGACCTCCAGTTAAGGTGGGGAGGGTTGAGGAATGGAGAAATGGATGAGACAACTGCCTCCAATCTCCTTTTTGATTCTGATATCTCAGGGAAAAGTAGTGGGATAAGGGGAGAGGGCTGTTCTCGACAACCCAACTGCATCAGTACTCAGGAATTGGTGAAGACCACTGAATGTCACCCCAGGGTCTCCAATGTGGAGCATGTTCTGGCGATACTGCTTAAGTTTTTTTTTTTTAAAGATTTATTTTTATTATTTTTTCATTGGAAAGGCGGATATACAGAGAGGAGAGACAGAGAGGAAGATCTTCCGTCCGATGATTCACTCCCCAAGTGAGCACAACGGGCCGATACTATGCCGATCCGAAGCCAGGAGCCTCTTCTGGGTCTTCCACGTGGGTGCAGGTTCCCAAAGCTTTGGGCCGTCCTCGACTGCTTTCCCAGGCCACAGGCAGGGAGCTAGAAGGGAAGCGGGGCTGCCAGGATTAGAACCGGCGCCCATATGGGATCCCGGGCGTGCAAGGCGAGGACCTTTAACCACTTGCGCCACCGCGCCGGGCCCGAGTTTTGATAGTTCTGAGATGCTGTTGATTTTGTTGCTCCAAGGTTTAGGAAATTCTTCCGAAGTCCATTGTCTGACAGTCTTCCTTAGTCTCAGTTCACCCAGATACTTACCTAGGAGAGCAATCCAATTTATTCTGCCCTCTGTGGTACTAGACTTCCTCTGCAGTTCTTTGTGGCTAAATGGGCACAACTGGAAACTATAATGCTAAGGGAAATGAGTGAATCCCAAAAGATTAGATACCACATGTTCGCCTTGATTTAACCTGTAATTTATTGTTTGGTTGTTTGTTATTTTTTGAACGTGTCATTGATGCTGTCTCAACCCAGATGTTTCGAAGAATGGAACTTGCATTATTTTTAACATATTGTTTACCCAATACTATGTCAATTAATTCCATAATGTTGTATATTGATACTGAGGCCTTGTTGGGGCTTTTAACCGACCGGATCTTTACTCTGTTAGACCTATCTTCAGACCATAGAAGGTCTCCCCAGGAGGCCACTGAACTTATCTGGACAATAAGACGCTGAACTTTATGCTAGGCATGTGTTTGCAAGCAATGAATCTCAACTGAACTTGAACTATGGTTATGCAGCAAGGTGGAGGAATCCACCATGGGGGGAGGGGTATGGGGAGGGGTGGGGGGAATCCCCAGCGCCTATAAAACTGTACTACACAATACAGTGTAAGCAACAATAAAAAAAAAAAATAATAATAATAATAATAATAATAATAAAATATTTTTTAAAAATAGTACTTGAGCCCAGCACAATAGCCTAACAGTTAAAGTGCTCGCTTTGCACATGCCAGGATCCCATATGGATGCTGGTTATAATTCCGGCAGCCCCACTTCCCATCCAGCTCCCTGCTTGTGGCCTGGGAAAGCAGTTGAGGATGGCCCAAAGCCTTGGGACCCTGCACCCACATGGGAGACCGAAAGAGGCTTCTGGTTCCTGGCTTCGGATTGGCACAGCTCCGACCATTGCAGCTGCTTAGGGAGTGAAGCAATGTCTTCCTGTCTGTCTCTCCTGCTCTCTGTATATCTGACTTTCCAATAGAAATAAAATAAATCTTTTAAAAAAATAAAAATTTCTTAAAAATTTTTAAAATGTCTTTCACTTTTACAGGTTCCATAAGTTCGTGCACACAAGCTAGCAAGATTATGTTTTTAAATATTTATTTACTTGAAAGGCGTAGTTAAAGAGAGCGGGGCATGAAGAGAGGAAGAGAAAGAGAACTCTTCCATATACTGGTTGGATGAAACCAGCAGCCAGTAGCTTTTTCAAGGTCTCCCTTTTTCCAGTCTCCAGGTAGCAGGGATTCAAGTATTTGTGCCATCTTTTGCTGCTTTTCCAGGAGCAATAACGGACAACTGGATTAGAAGTGGAGCAACCAAGACTTGAGCCAGCACCCATATGTGATGCTCATATCACAGGGAGCGATTTAAACACTGCATCACATGGCCCTGACAAAATTATTTTAAGTGTCTTTCACTGATGTTGGAATGAACTACCAAAGAAGTAGAAGTTAAGACTCATACTAACAGCTGTTTATCAACACCTGGAGCCGCATTGATCTGGGAACTAGGAATTAGGAACTGTGTGAGGCAGCTCTTTAACTCTGCATGGCTGATTACATAGTGTTCCAAGCTGTGAGTAATGAAACATCAGATCAGCCAATATATGTGTACATTTCAAATTATCTGTAATTTGGATTTAGCATAATGGCCCCATTAGTTAAAGCCTCACCTTGCAAGTGCCAGAATCCCATATGGGCATCATTATGTTCTGGCTACTCTGGTTCCCATCCAGCTCCCTACTTAAGGCTTGGGAAAGCAGTAAAGGATGGCCCAAACCTTGCAATCCTTCATCCATGTAGAAGACCTGGAAGAAGCTCCTCACTCCTGACTTTGGATTGGCTCAACACTCAGTGTTGAGGTCAGTTGGGGAGTGAACCAGCAGATAGAAGACCTTTCTCTCTGTCCCTTTCTCCGTAAATCAGATCTGTCTTTCCAGTAAAAGTAAATAAATCTTTAAAAGAAATATCTATAGTTTATTTTACTTACTTGAAAGAGAGACAGGGAGACTTCTCCCATCCACTGGTTCACTTCCCACAGCAGCTGGGGTTGGAGCAGGCTGGAACCTGAAAACAAGACCTCAGTCCAGATATTTCCCACATGGATGACAGGGACCCAGCTACTTAAGTATCAGTCACCTGCTGCTCCCCAGGGTACGCAGTAACAGGATGCTAGAGTTCAGAGCAGAGCCAGAACTCTAACCCAGGTACTTCATTGTGGGATGTCAATGTCCCAGTCAGTGTCTTTACTAAGCCAAATACCTGTGCCAATTTATACCTTTTTTTTATGGCTCTCATATAAGTTATTTACTTTTCTCTTGTCTATTTAAACTTTGACCAAACACATCTAGGTTGGAAGAAGTGGCAATATCCCAGCGGGAACAACAGTTGATACAGACATTACACACCCGTATGAGTTCGATTTTTACCTCTGTAGCCATGCTGGAATACAGGTAAGCCTTCCCTCTGAGTGAAATGTTTGAATGCAAAAATTTTCATTCTCATGTGAATTTTTTAAATCCCAGAAAAAGGAGTACTCTTCATCTTTTCCCTTACCTTAGGAGGAGCTGTTTTGTGAGAACAGAATTAGATTAACAGACTATATCTGCCTAAAATAAGCCCTTAATTTAGCCTAAAACTTTGAAAAAAAAAAAACACAAAAGCAAAAACTTAAAGTAACTTAGAGTTCTTTTGACTATTCCTCTCTTTGATGATATCATATAAAAAATTTTCACACTTACTGGTAGCTGTTGACCATGGGAAGGAGTTTGATTGCAGAATTAACACTTAACTGTTTCAGTTAAACTATTTTAAGAGCCTATTCTTATTTCCAGAGTTTTTTTTATTAACTTTCTGATTTTACTTGGCAGTTAATTAGTTAATTATTTCTCAGACTTTGCAGCAGTAGGATATGCAAGGATATCTAAGAGGGTATAGACCAAAACTCAGAACTTACTGGAAATTTCAGGATGATGTGCCATACTGCTGTCTTACAGTTTAATGTGCCTCACTTTTACTAACTCCTGTCAAACTCCATCTTTAAAGTTGTATTGCACTCTTTTATCCATGGTTCTGCAGTAACAATCCACAAAAAATAGTTCATGGCTAATGGTATTTTGGCTAATGGTATTTTCTAGGGCTAAAGTCTATATCACTGGAGTACTTATTTTTTTATTTTAATATTGCTTTTGTTTTTTATAAAAAGGAAACAAATTTCATATATGTAATTTGAAGAACATATTTCTTCCCCTGGAGTATGTATTTCAGCCTAGTATTTCTCCTCCCCACCCATGTTTCCTCAGGAACACTACTGCTGTGGCTAGCTAATAAATGCCATGGAGAAGGAAAAAAATATCTGTTTAAATAAGTTTGCTTTTTTTTTTAAAGATTTATTTATTTATTGGAAAGTCAGATATACAGAGAGGAAGAGAGACGGAGGAAGATCTTCCGTCCGATAATTCACTCCCCAGGTAACCACAATGGCCGATGCTATGCCGATCCAAAACCAGGAGCCAGGAACTTGTTCCAGGTCTCCCATGCAGGTGCAGGGTCCCAAAGCCTTGGGCCGTCCTCAGCTGTCTTCCCAGGCCACAAGCAGGGAGCTGGATGGGAAGTGGAGCTGCTAGGATTAGAATCGGCGCCCATATGGGATCCCGGAGCGTTCAAGACGAGGACTTTAGCTGCTAGGCCTCACCGCAGGGTCCTGAATAAGTTTTGTAAATATTGGCTTAACAGAGTGTTCAGTAACTTTTAGAGGCCGTTTATATGCAAATGGCCAATATGAATCTTGAGGAATATTTCTCTAAACCTTAAGAAGCAGTTTTCCTTTGGGACACCAATGTCAGGTTTCTGCTCTAGTAAGCAAATAATGAGAACTTTTTCAAAGGAACTAAAAACTCTTCTGTTTATGTTTTCTCAACTTTATTAAGAATTTTCTTTTTTTTTTTTTTTTAGTTTATTTTTATTACAAAGATATACAGAGAAGAGGAGAGACAGAGAGGAAGATCTTCCATCCGATGATTCACTCCCCAAGTGAGCCCAATGTCAGTGCTGTGCCGATCTGAAGCCAGGACCCAGGAACTTATTTCCAGGTCTCCCACCTGGGTGCAGGGTCCCAAGGCTTTGGGCCATCCTCAACTGCTTTCCCAGGCCAGAAGCAGGGAGCTGGATGGGAAGTGGAGCTGCCAGGATTAGAACTGGCACCCATATGGGATTCTGGCACATTCACGGTGAGGACTTTAGCTACTAGGCTATTGACCCAGACCCTAAGTCTCCACTTCTAATTGGCTTTAATTTTTATGACCAAATCTCTTAGAGTCCCTTATTTGTCTTCAGGTGGAGAGAATGTATTTTCCTCACAGATAAAGTTTCATGCTCTCACCAAATTCAAAGCCACTCTTCCTAAACTGAGAAAATAGGAGTGAGGTGAGAAGAACCCAGACCCTAGGATATTAGTGGTAGGATATCAGTGGTAACACTTGTCTTAAAATTATTCCTTTCAGTGAGTCCATGGGGGACGATGGCTGCCTCTGGGTCTTTAGAATGGATGGTATTTTCCAGGCCTCTTCTCTCCGTTGAGCCTTATTTGAAGTTCCCTAACAGCAGAAGAAGGGAAAGCCTCAGTTGGCGCACTTTTAGAGCATGCACCCTCTCTTGCTGACCTATCAAAAAAAAATTCCAGAAAAGATAAGTGTTGCTCATAGAAGAATCGGAGTTGTCCTTGCCCTAAGTCTAGCTTCCTAGTAGGAATTGCCAAAGCTCCCGAGGCAGTCCTCACTGCTGTTTGCTAGTCCTTTGATGCCTCTTTTGTTAGCTCTTTATGCCACTTTTCTTGGACTTCTAACCTTGGCCTGTTGCCTCAATCTTCAGCACATGACCACTTTCACCACGCTCAGAAATTATGTTGTCAGTCATGCCTACTTTATTTCTTCACAACAAAGGTCAGTCTGCAGTGTTCTCTCTTGCCTGCCTTAGAATGACCTTAATCTAACAGCTTTTTTCTTATGTCTTCATTCACTTGGAAGCTTCTGATCCCATTATTTTTAAGAAAAAGATGGATTTATTCATTCATTCATTCATTCATTTGAAAGGCACAGTTATGAGAAAAGGAGGCCTTCCATTTGCTGGTTCACTCCCCAGATGGCTGCAATGGCCAGGGCTGAGGTAGGCCAAAGCAGGAGCCAAGAACTCCATCCTTGTCTCACATGGTTGGCAGAGGCTTAAGTATTTGGGTCATTTTATATTCCTTTCCCGGGCATGTTAGCAGGGACCTGGATTGGAATGGAGCATCCAGCACTCAAACTATTTGGTTCTTCCATATGAGATGCCGGTATCACAGGCAGTGGTTTAACCTGCTGCACCCAACACCAGCTCCCTGATTCCACTCTTTCAGCCTGTACTTTCTCCAATCCTGAAATACAGTCGCTTGATCCTGCTACACTGTGTTAAATTATTGCCTATGTCTTTATCCCATTTACGACTAAACTGTCCTTGCAAAAGAATAGTATAAATTGTCAGTATTATGGCACAGTGAGCTAAGTTTTTACCTGTAATGACAGCGTCCCAAATGATGGAAAAGATAGAGAGAAAAATATCTTTCATCTGATCGTTCACTCCGCAAATTGCCACAAGAACCAAGACCTAGGAACCCCCTCTGTGTTTCCTAGAGACCCAAGCACTGGAGCTGTCAAGTGCGTTAGTAGGGAACTGAATTGGAAATACAATAAGCAGTGTACAATGGCACTTTGAAATGTGATCCCAACATCAGAAGCTTAACATCAGATGCTGTGTCAAAATGCCAGCCCCCTATTCTGCATTTTAGTATTCATTATGGTCCAATTTCTGATGGTTTTGTTATATATTATCTTTCTCTTATCACTGTAATGTGTGTCTTATTCACTGGCATGTCCTGTACCAGTAACTTTTTCAGTGTGAGAATGTACAATGTGTGATATATACATTATAAACATATCATTGGGGGAGGTAGAATCAAGTAGAATTCAAGTTTTATCCTCAAAGTCTTCCACAGCTTCTAATGCTAATAAGAAATATGGATTAAAATAAAAATAAATAAATCTTTTTTGAAAAAGAAATATGGGTTCAAGTGTGAGCTAATATATATTCCTCTATATGTTATCACTGTCATTTTTTCAATTCAGCCCTTCATCCATTTCACCAGAATTAATGTAACATTTCCCAACTACTGCTGTTGCTTTCAGTCTATTTATAATCCATATTCTGAAATTGCTAATGTTAACTTTTAAAAAAATATTCATTTTGGACCCAGCACGGTGACCTAGCAGCTAAAGTCCTCACCTTGAACATCCGGGATCCCATATGGGTGCCGGTTCTAATCCTAGCAGCTCCACTTCCCATCCAGCTCCCTGCTTGTGGCCTGGAAAAGCAGTCGAGGACGGCCCAAAGCCTTGGGACCCTGCACCCACATGGGAGACCTGGAGGAAGTTCCTGGTTCCTGGCTTCAGATCAGCTCAGCACTGGCCATTGTGGTCACTTGGGGAGTGACTCATTGGACAGGGGATCTTCCTCTCTGTATATCTGATTTTGCAATAAAAATAAATAAATCTTTTTTAAAAATATATTCATTTTGGTATTTGAAAGATTTACAGAGAAAAAGAAAGACAGAGATCTTCTGTCTGTGAGTTTACTCCCCATATGATTGCAGTGGCTAGAACTGAGCCATTGGAAGCCAGGAGCCAGGTGCTTTCTCCGGATTTCCCACATGGGTGCAGGGGCCCAAGGACTTGAGCCATTCTTTGTTGTTTACCTTAGCCATAAGTAGGGAGCGTCATCTGGAAGTGGATCAGCTAGGTCTCAAACTGGGACCCAAATGAGAAACTGGCACCACAGGCAGAAGCTTAGCCTAGTATGCCACAGCACTGGCTCCTGACATTAGCTTATAAAATCCTAATTTCATCATGCCTGAAAGTTCTCCTAACTGCCCAGTGCTTTCCCTGAGGTGTGTAGATGAAATTCCAGAGTCCTAAGCGTGTTGTTCAGTATGATTCCCAACTTTGATTTCATGTTCCTCTTTGCCTTCTGTGCCACGCTCTGCTTAAACTAATCTGTTAATCCCTGGATGCACCATGAAATATTGCTTTCCAGTATTTTTTTAAGGCTGCTCATTCTGTCTAATGTCTTTTTCCCCTGTCTCCAAAATGCCAACTCTTACTTATTCCCTCTTGGTGAAGCGCCCCCAGTCTCTCTCACAATTACTTTCTTTTGCATTCTCATGTAAGACCAAATATGGCCAGTAATTCTGTAACTATTCATTTGTTGCTTTATACCTGTAGATGCTGTGTCTCCTCTACTGTACTAAATTGTTTTCCAGAAGACAAGAAATCCTTGGTCCTGTCAATTTTGTTTTGAATCCATAATACCTAGCATAATAATGATATCCTATGTCTGTATGTAAAATTTACCTTAAATTCATCATTTTAGCCATTTTTAAGCATGCAGTCCAGTGACACTGAATATATTCATGTTGTGGTGCATCCCCAGCACCCTCCCCAGGACTTTTTCATCTGTCCTAATCACTTTACTTATAAAGCACTGACTCCCTACTTCCCCCTTGCAGCCTCCTGACTTTCACCATTCTTTGTCACAATGAATTTGACTGTTCTCGCTATCTCATTAAATAGATTGTACACAGTATTTGCCATCCTGTGGCAAATACTTCCATTTAGTATGAGGTCCTCAGGGTTCATCTGTGTTGGCGTGTATGTCAGTTTTCTTCCTTTTTCAGGCTGAATGATATTCCAATGGATGTGTGTACTTCCTTTTGTTACCCATTCATCCACTGATGGACACTTGGGTTGCTCCTCCCTTTGGGTTGTTATGCATAAGACTGTTATGAACATAGATGTACAAGCATCTATTTGAGTCCTTCCATTACTGCTCAGTACATATCCAGAATCAACTAAATTCTTAGTTGACTATTAAATAACAATATGTTTTCCAAATGTACAAAGCTATTTTAAATTACTTGATCCACGCTGAATATGTAAAAGCTTGGCAGTCAACAGAACATGCCATTCATTGCCTTCTCCGTAGGGTACCAGTCGTCCTTCCCACTATCATGTTTTGTGGGATGATAACTGCTTTACTGCAGATGAACTTCAGCTGCTGACTTACCAGCTCTGCCACACATATGTGCGCTGTACACGGTCTGTTTCTATTCCTGCACCAGCGTATTACGCTCACTTGGTGGCATTCAGAGCCAGATATCATCTCGTGGACAAAGAACATGACAGGTAACGTAAAAAAACATTAGCAAGTACCAATTCTCTCCTAAGTCCAAATATGGTTTGGGTGTTAGGATTTTCTTAGTAAATTCTATAGATGCTTCCCTGTAACAATGGGCCTCTGTATTTACCATAAAGTATCACCATTTAAATTTAAAATTCCATGGTCTACTAGAGAAGTTGGTAATTGTGAAAAGCCATAAAAGTCAGAACTAACTATCCAAGATAATAAGTTTTCTATTGCAATATGCTACCTGGGCTCATAAGCAATGGAATAATATAGTAGTTTAGCTGCTTTTCAAAATTAGCTCAAGGAACAAATCATTGGTAATAGTAAAATGAAACATATATTGGTAGACAAAATTATATGTCTAGGATTTTCTTCTAATCCTGGGAAGGGAAAAGAGATGTAAAGAAAAATTGATCTTGAATAATATATTGGAGCTGGGTGATACACACATGACGTGTTATACAAGTCTGTAATTTGAAATGTTCAGATTTACTACATCAGAACAGAAGGTTTGCTTTTGTGTGCATTGCCACTTCTCTCTTTTTTTTATTGTTTTTTAATACAGTTTAGTTGGCACTGGAATCTCCCTTCCCCCTTCCCTAAGTTCCCAATCTCCTTGCCCCCATTCTCCCCTCCAGTCTCACAGTGGGTGTTTTTCATGTGAGTTTTCTCAAGCCCATCCTGGTGCCACTGGAGCATCTCCCAACCATGTAGGAGACTGTCAGCCATTCCATTGTGAGTTATTTCTTGTATCCCAGGACCCTAATGAAGGTACAGTGAGGACTAGATCTTCATTATTTATGCATTACCACTTCTCTTACAGTGCCGAAGGAAGTCATGTTTCAGGACAGAGCAATGGGCGAGATCCACAAGCTCTCGCCAAGGCTGTACAGATTCACCAAGACACCTTACGCACAATGTACTTTGCTTAAAGAGTCCAAGTATGTTCTCTGAGAGGAAGAACTGCATTGACACACAGCGTATGTTGAGTGAAGTCGATCGAGCAAGGAGGGACGCCTCCAGCCATATAGAAACCAACACTGTGGGGCCCAGGTCTGATCCTTATGTTGGTACAGTGAAGATTGTCTGCTTCATCAAGGAAGGCAGCACTATTATGCAATATGAAACCAGCCAACTGCTTTTTGTGCAGTCTCCGTAGGAAGTATTGCAATTGTTTTCTTTTCACTTCTTATAGTCTAACCGTTTTAATGCCTTTACCTCAAGTTGCTTGGCAGCACAGCTATCTTTGCAAAAAAAAGGTAAATAAGAAGAAAATGTAAATGATGGTTGAAAAAATACATACCTACAGGAATAATCAGCGATTGTTCACAATTGTGTGTGCAAAAAAATTAACATGCACTCATGTATTATCTTGTAAAAGTAGTCTGTATTTTTAAAATATATACATGCATACTTCATATGCATATGTATCTGGATCTAGACTGATAACAGATATATATGTATCTGTGTATATATTTTAGAGCTCATTCCATTGGGGAAGCCTCTCCCTTTATTCCCCCGTCTTTGTTTCCCCCTCACACCGCTTGCCTTCATCAGCTGTATTTTTTCTCCTCTGATGCTGCCAGTGACATTCAAATGTTCATGCATCTAATTCACTTGACTGTGAAGCATGGCAAACTAGATTTCTATATTTATTTTGCATACCCTACTCCTGTCTCCTGTCTCATACACAATTTTGAGTCCTCAACCCTAATAATGCTTTCTTAAGAAACAAAATTATTTTCTATCTGTATCTTTACACAGTGTTGTCATATGTCTCCAGACTCAACTTCACATTTGCCTCTTGGGCAATGTGTACATAAGCAGTAGCAACCTAGTATTCTTTATCTTCAGTGAGTTTATCAAAGCTGCTACAAATGTGAAACCTTGTCAGAAATTGTAACTCTTTCTCTCTGATAAGTGACATGTATTCTAAAGCCTTCTGCTCCTACAGGATAGACCCGAAAATCCCTTAAAGCTTTTATAAAGGATAAATATTTTAAAAAGTTGGAACTCTGTAGGGTTGAGGCCTCTGAAATTGAGTAGAGGAAAGAAGATTATGGAGTTTTTGTTTTGTTTTGATTTGCTTTTTGCTGGGTTACTTGCTGCCTCTCAAACCTTAATGTGATTTTCATATATATATTTTTATATATATGTATGTGTGTATATATATATAAACATATATGTATGTGTTTTGAATTATAGCTTCCTTTTCTTTTATATTTATTAGAATACTGCTTTAATAATTATAGGACCGTGTTGACAACATCTTTTATAGAAATATAATCATGTTTATTTTAAGAACTGACAACTTGTTTTTTGCTATCTTTTAGTGCAATAAGCAGTTTTAAAGGAAAGTTGTATCTTTTTGACATCTCTATCATGGGTAATGGGAATGGGCACCTCCGTAATTTTATAAGGATGAAGTACTACAGCCTTAATTTCAGAAGGGAGGTTTTATAATCTTCAGTTTTAAAGCATACCTTTAAAAATCATAGTGAAAATGAAGAAAGCCTAATTGCTTGCCTGAGTTTGACCTTAGATCTTAAAAATAAAGTTGAATGATAAGAAGTGACAGTAAACAACCCAAGACTTAAGAGATGTCTAAATTATTTGAAAATAGATTATGTTTATGGAAGAATCATACCAGCCAGGTGCCAATTTTTATTTACTAAGATAAATCAAGAAAGTGCAAATTGATATTTTAAAGAGAATTTTTGCTGATTTACCACCAATATGACTTTCCTTTTAAAACTAACGTGATACTGGCAAAAGAAGTCGAGACTTCGATCATTTTAAATTATTTAAATCACTGAAATATGGGATGGCGGGAGTTCTGCAAAACTTTCGTCTGTTGATTTCACTTTTAAGATGTTAAAAAGTACTGAAAAGCTGTCAAAACCAAGTGTGTAAATAACATTGGATTCAGAGGAGTTTTACGCCTTATCGTTCATGAAAATTGCATTTTGACTTTTTTTGTTTGTTTGCACTGGTCAAGAGTATACATATTTCAGATTGCTTCCAAAGGGCATTGTTATTAGCCTTTAGAATTCCATCTGCACATGAAAACTAATGGATTTAGATCTTTAGTTTGTCTCTTACCTTTAATCCATTAACATTGCCAATTTACTGTATTTTGAGCCTAAAATCTGAGCCGATGTCCTTCAGTAGGCATGAAATCTTTTGTCCCAATGCCAGAAAACTAAGAAAGTACTGTATTTTGTATCTTTATTATTTTGAAGCATCTGAAATGAGATTTACAATACTGTTTCAAAGCACTTTACATAATATTTATATAGTATATACATATTTTTTTTCTCCCAGCCTGCTCCCATCTTCTCAGAACAAAACAAACAAAAAATCCCATTAAAGTATGCTTGTTTTCTTACATTGAAACTTCACTGAATAGAGTCAGGAGTGTGAGCTAGAGAAGACAGCCATATACCCTGGGTGGTGCACGTTTTATTTTTCTGTGCTTGCTCAGTATGAATAAAATGTCTTCCTTCATTCGTGGGAGCTGCAGGGACTGATGTGGAAAATTTCAGGGAGCAATTGTAGCTACCCTTTCCCTACTCACTGCTTACCCTAATCTGCAGTCCCTTAGTGTCACTCGTGCTAGGGAGAATCCCTGAAGTTAAATGTACCGGGAAGGACATTTTTTAAGAGGAAAAGTATTTTTTCTAAACTATAAAGCTTTACCTTTTGAGTGATTTCTTTTTTAGAGACTTAACGCTATTCGACATTGTTAGTTTAAGGTTGATTAACTTGAAAGAATATGTATAGTATATTTCTATTTTGCTTACTAACAAATTGATGTATAAGCCTAATTATTAAAAAAGAAAACGTTATGCATAGAATTTTAAGATAAAGGCTAAGTGGCAAATATTGGAATTTGTTCTTATTATTATTGCACTTTTGGTGCAGAATTCCTAATTTTAAAATTTTAAAAAGGTGGTTTTGAGTTTCTTTGTAAATTTAAACATGAAACTCAGAATGACCTCTCTGCTTCTACCCTAGCTCGTGACTGAATGCTAAAGATCTGCTATTTTCTGTGATACGGCATATAAGAGTGACTTTAAAATGTCACCCCCAGCAACTGTTAAAAATGATTTCATGTGAAGAAGGGTTGGGAGTTTAATGTATATTCCTGTTGGCAATGTCTGTGAAAAGTGCTGATACATGTTCTTACGTTACAGCAGTGAGTTCCTGGCATTGAGAACTACATGTTTATAATACTGTAGCTGCTATATTTATTTAAGTAGGGTCTGACAGTTACTGCACTAAACCTTAAGATGAACAGGAGTCAAAGCTTGTATTATGCCTGTTGTTTTGTTTCATTTTCCCAAATTAGATTAAGGAGATAAAATACCAAGGTTAACAAAGGGTGCTGCCATTTAGTTACAATTTAATACCAGAATAATATTTTAGAATTGTGGATTTTCACTTCTGTGGTTTGCAAAAGGTTACCTCAGCCTGGTTTTCGGTACATTTTCTCAGAACTTGGTTTTTTCACAGATGCACTTTCTTTTTTCGTGAATTTCTTGGAAAACCTGTCCCATGGAAATACTCCTGCTTTTACCCTATTAATTTATTTCTCTTCCTAAAAGAGAATCTAGAAGGAATTTTCATAGGAAAACTTTAAAATTGGATGTTTTATAAAATATTTGATGAAGATTCATCTCCGCCTTCTAGCCTGGGGACTTAGATCCTCTGAAAGCCTCATCATAATTTCTCAGGCTAGGTTCTGTATGACCCACCACTGCTTCATTGTATTTGTTTATTGTCTGACGGACTTTAGGATAGCTGACAGAGGCGTCATGAAAGACTTAGGCAGGCCTCAGGAAGTAAAAGTTCCATAGAAATGACTGGCAAAGGAAAAAGTGTCAAAGGAATGAATGAGCCCCCGGAGCGCCAGGAAAGAGATATAACATACTCGTGTGGGTTATAGATCGGGCATTAGGCCGTACTCAAGGAACTTAGGGGGTCTTTTTAGACACAGACATGAATTTGTCAGAGGCAGCGTTTTTTATGAAATTCAAGAAGCTGGTAGCTTGCACACAGCTAAAATGTTTTGTAGTCTTCCTGTTTAAAATGTGAGAGTAATTCTCATTCAGGATTTATCACCCTGAGTGTAATGTGTGCTGAACTCCTCCTGGGAGGCATTGTGGTGAAGACGAAGGCTGGCATTGACAGGAACTTACTGCTTCAGTTCCCTTTTATATGTCAGCCAAGTTGCAAAAAGACATCATCAGTCTGGCATGTTTATTTTGGCTTTTTAATCTTTCTGAAGTATTAGACATTTTTATTCTTTTTGAGAACTTGCGGATGTCTTGAGCAGAGGCAGGCTGGGTAAGGCCTTGCAAAATCATTTGTTCTGGCTCTGCCAAGGCAATTGCAGGTGGAACTTGAAATTCAGTGAATCTCATTTTTAAATTGATTTTGTGTGTCTCGCAAATGATGTTTTAACTATCCCCAAACTCCTGGACAGAAAAAAGTATTCCCTCCCTGCCTTAAAGCATCAGTAATAGTGGCTGGGAGACTGCATAAGTGGGGTCTTCCAAGTGGTGATATAAACCTGATTTAAGATCTATCCTTTTTTTTTCATATTTTCCTTCCAATTGAGCATAAAAAGTACTTTTGTGATTCTGTAGGAGTCAAAAAAAGTAAGCTGAGAGTGGTTATGTTTAAAAAAAAAAATGCAGAAATTGGAAGGAGAATTTTCTCAAAAAAAGAAATATTTAAAACAAAAATTCTGTGAATCTTAAGAACATTCTTCACCAGTAGCAGTGTTAGAAGTGAAACTGTGATTAGCAGTGAATGAAAGTCAAACTAAGTCCCCAGAGCAGGAAGGAGGCCCAGACATACAGGGTGCTTCAGAGTTTGTGAAAGTGGAATTAAAAGATAAGTTTATTTTGGTGTAAAGCATGCATAATTCTTTTCATAATATGCAACTGTTTATGTCATGAAGTAAAAAGATATTTTGACCTGCTTTTGTGCTTTTGAAAATGTTACATTTAAGTTCATAATTTTCCATATCAGTAACAAAATTTTTAACGGGCAAAGCTTACATTAAAGTTATCTATTGCTAGCTCAAGTTTATTTGACTTGACCCGTTCAGAGTAGCACTTTGAGTTTACATTGTTGATAAAATCTTACTAAGTTTTTATTCTTAGAGTGCGGAAGTTACATATACTTTAGTCGGAATGAAAGATAGAAGGATTGTCCAAAGTTAAGGTTTACCAGTGAGGAAGCCCTGTTGAACTAGCAAGTAACTAACTGTGACAAGATTGGGACCCTGTCAATCATCTATCCCACCACTGGACTTGTTCCTACTGGAAGCCAGTGTCTGAGGGAGCCAAGGCCTGATGTTGCATTAGGGTCTCAGGATGTTCAGGTTCGACTCTAAATGAAATTTTAAGTCATTTTCTAAAACAAGCAGGTTCTTAGAAAGTGCCTTTACAGAGGATGGTGCTGTAAATTTTTATTTTTCAAATAGCATGAGGATCAAAATTTAGAGGTAAATTATTTTAGAACTCCGAGAGTGTGAGTTTCATACAGCAGGAATAATGTTTCATGTTGTCCTTAATCTAAGGAAGCCAAGGAAAGCTTTATTGCAGTAAGGATCCAAGAACGTGCTCACCAAATTTATTTTGTAAATTTGAAGACAGAAATTTTTTTAACAGAATTAGCCCTTTTTAGTGAAGTTAAGGGATGAGTGGCATGGAAAAAATAACTTGCAGGGAATTAATTACCTGTTATCTGCTAGTTCCCTCTGCCTTTTTTTCCCTTCAACATACTTTGACTGTAAAGGTTATAGACATTTTTTTTCTGACTCACCAGTGTTAGAGATGACTGCTCACAAACAAACAGCCAAGACGTTGAGAGATGATTTTAAGAAAGAAAATAAACTGCTAGATATCTCTATTTTAAGGAACTTTTTTTAGAACCTGATGAATATATTTTAAATGATTAAATGATACCTTTTCTTCTTTTTTTCTTAAAATAGGAAGATCTGTGAAAAATGTTGACAATGCATTTAAAAGAATAGTGATTTAAAAATAAAGCATGCATGATTGGGCCTTAGTAATCCCTGAGAAAGCAGTTTTCCCCCACACTGAGGCACCATAAACAGCAGGACATGATCCTGTAACTAGGTCTGACTTATGAATTTGGTAAGTATTCCTCCAGAAAAAAAAAAACTAAACTAAAAACCTGAAGCACCATACCTCAGTAACCTTATATGCTGCATTATGTAACAATGATGGTAAAATTACACTGATTGTTTGGAGTGTACTGTTTGCCGATATATATGCACATTAAACTTTCATTTTCATAATGTCTCAATAAGCGATTATAATTTTATATTTTAAGATTAATTTTTTCTATTGTGATGTGTATATTTATTGGTAATTTGTGTGCAATTTTATATTTTGCTAGGATGCTGGTTTAAGGTATTTTATTTAGTAGATATTTCTAGCTTTTCCTCTTTCTTTGTAATTTTAGCAGAATTTAAGATCAAGTATTAATATACCAAACAAATTACTACTTCTATAATTTTTAGAGTTGGATCTCTACCAATAAACCATTAACACTATTTTTTGATTTACAATATTTGATGTTGTTTATACTGTGGGCATTAAAGATAGTCTTTAGGCAGATTTCTATGTATGGAAGAGAACTTTGACTTTTCTAAAAAGTTAAATCTTTTTCTTCTTTCATAGCAAACTGATACTAACAAGTTGGGTTTTATTTTACCTAACAGCTGTTTTTGGAAAATTTATCAATTAAGTGGTCCTTGATATTTCTTTTTTTAACTTTAGGTGCATTGAAACTGCTTCAGTGGCCACATTGCTCAGTAGTAGGATTATGATACCTTTCTTAGCCTAGGAAAGCAAATAACCCAGAAATCACTGATTCCCTTTGAAGTGGGGCATTCCCCGCAACCAACCCAATGAGTGTGCTATACGGAAGATCTGATCTTTTTCTCTAGCATTCTTTTTAATTCCTGGATTATCAGTGAAGGAACCAGAGATAAAAGAGAGCCAGGATTTTAGACTGATTAAGAGTATTTCAACTAATTAAAATTTCCACTATTCCAGTAGTAAAAATTTATGAATGTGAGTTAATTAGAAGACAGTAAAATTGTGATAGTAGTATACTATTTTGAAGCCTGCATACTAACTCCAGTGTCCTGGTATGGATCAAGACTACTTGTTTTGGCACATGAACTTTTCTTATAAAAGTCCATGAGAAAATATATTCTCTTTAAAAGGAAAAATATTTCCGTTGTATTTTAACATGATGAATTTCTTTGGTAAGAAATCTTTCTGTAAGGAATTAAGTGATAAATTTTATCCCATTCTCTGATTTTTAAATTCTAAATTACTGGAGTTCAGTGAATGACACTGTGTTGTTCTGTGTTCTGTTCTTCCACTGAGAGGGAGGGAAATGGGGGAATTTTTTTCAAGTAATTGTAACTGGAACAACTTTTATATTGTGTAAAGTTTTACACTTTAAAAATAACCAGCATGCGATTTCGTGCAGATTGTAGCCATACCATTTCTTAACGCACGTTTGCGCATTACATGGATTTGCTTTAGTCTGCTACTCTGAGTCACTTCCTCCAACCCCACATCAAGAACTCATTGGAGACTTGTACTCTGACTATAGAAATGTATTACTTCTAATTAAGAACTAAGTATATTTCAAGCAGTCAGATACACTTTTGCTGCAAGAATGTCTCTCTTTCAAGGACATGTATTGTACTATGAGTTTTTATTCATCATATTTCCACATTTTCCTAGGTTGCCAGACAGGCAGGTGGTTCTTGAGGACCATCTCTAATGCTGTGTTTTCTACCTGGCATGTAGAGCTTATTTTAACCAATTGACTACACAGATTCAGATTCGTAGCATCAATACTCCATTAACACAGTAGAGTACTTGATGACTTGTTTTGGTTTGTAGTCCACCTCTTGAAAAAGACCCGTTTGTGCAGTAACAGGTCATTCCAAGAAAGAACTTTCAGGAACAATCTTTTGGGTAGAAGCCAGATGGAAGTGTTGATCAGTAGAACTTATTCTTATTCTTTCCACAGATGGAACTATGTGCACATCCATCATTTCAGATCTGCCGTGTAAAAGGCTGCAGTGGAGAGTAGAGAGGGAGATTACTGTGCTTGTTAGTGCCCAGGCCTTTCATCTTTAATCATGGCTTTCAGTTAGAACAAACAAATTCATTAATTTAACCCTTTAATGATCTTTTTAGACCCAAAGAAGGAAAGACTGGGGGAAATCTGTGTGCATTTACGTATCATGGTGTGACTCTGTTTTTCTCTATTATAATAATCTGTAGAAACAGGTCTTCCCAGAGAAGTGGGACTAATGGGGTGGAGCAAATATGTAATGAGAGGAACTGAAGCTAAGGTTTCTTGGCTGAGATCTTCAGACAGAAACCTTGTAACTGTTTCATGCTTGCCAAATTCCTATGTCTACATAGTATTAGAGCAGCTGCTGCTCTGTGAACCTGCAGGAGAGACTCAAGCAGAGTGCCTCTCTGTGTAAACTGTTCTTTGTTGTTCCACACCCAGCTATTCTCGTTTATATTAAGAAGTCCTAGAGACTGCTTCTGAATGATAATAAGGGAATGAAATGATGTATTTACCTTACTCATGGCACTACTATCAACACAACCTTAAGTAAAACAGTCTTTCTGTGAAGAAAGTATTTTTGGTGACTTATTTGTAGAAAATGCTCGTAGGAGGTCATACAGCAGGCATGTTCAGCACAGTTTAATCTGACTAATGGATGCAGATAGTCCAAAGGAGTTTAACAAGAAGCAGCAATGATTTTAGTAGTACCAGACTAGATGTCCAGTGGTAGTTAAATTGCCAGTATCTTCCTATTTCAGACTGGAAATGACATAAAAAATTTTTCTTTCTTTGAAAAAGATACAGAAAGAAGGAGAGAAAGAGTGAGCTCCTCCATCATCTGTTGGTTCACTTCCCAGATAGTTGCAACGGCCAGGACTTCATCCGGGTCTCCCACACGGGAAGCAGGGCCAACCACTTGGGCCATCTTCCACTGCCTTCCCCAGGCCATTGGCAAAGAGCTGGATTGGAAATGGAGCAGGGGAGACATCAGCCATCACCCATAAGCAATGGTGGCATCACAGACAGTAGCTTTACTTATGCCACAACACCAGCCCTGCTAATTATTGCCCTGTAAAAAAGTGTGTTTTTGTTTCTCTCTAACTAAAAAACCAGAAACGGCAAGCACTAACTAAAATGTTCTGATAGTTTGTTCCTATAAAACTATTTGAAAGCTTTCCAGGAACATTATTGTTCAACCACAGGTATAGCCACTTTCCCTTCTTTGAAAAAGAAGTTAGAGGGGCTGGTACGGTAGCCTAGCAGGTATAGTTCTCACCTTGCACACGCCAGGGTCCCATATGAGCACCAGTTCTAATCCCAGCAGCCCTGCTTCCCATCCAGCTCCTTGCTTGTGACCTGGGAAAGCAGTCGAGGACTGCCAAAAGTCAGACTATCTGACTTTCCAATAAAAAATAAATTAATTAATAAAAATACTAAATAGGAAAATATATACTTTTTTAAAAAGCTACAAAACTATTTATATAGAATTCTGTGTGTGAATTACTTGGGTGCTTTTAAAGCACTTCAAAAATACATGGGAGGGCCCGGCGGCATGGTCTAGTGGCTAAAGTCCTCGCCTTGAATGTGCCAGGATCCCATATGGGCGCCGGTTCTAATCCTGGCAGCTCCACTTCCCATCCAGCTCCCTGCTTGTGGCCTGGAAAAGCAGTCGAGGGCGGCCCAAAGCCTTGGGACTCTGCACCCATATAGGAGACCTGGAAAGAAGTTCCTGGTACCCGGCTTCGGATCGGCACAGCACAGGCCATTGCACTCACTTGGGGAGTGAATCATCGGACGGAAGATCTTCCTCTCTGTCTCTCCTCCTCTCTGTATATCTGACTTTGTAATAAAAGTAAATAAATCTTTAAAAATACATGGGAAAGGAGTATCACATGTCACAAGACTGAGTCCTGGGGAGAGCGTCTGGCAGAGCAGTTCAGACGCAGCTTGGGACACCCGTGTGTGTATCTGAGTGCCTGGTCCCAGTTCTGCTTCAAGCTTCCTGCTGCTCTGCAACCTGACAAGCATGGGAGGGGTCAGGCAGGAGGGTCCCTGCCATCTGAGAGAGCTCCACATTGAGTTCCTAGTTCCTGGGTTTGGCCTGCCCCACCTCAGCTAGTTTAGGCATTTGTGGAGTGAGCAGGCGAATGGGAAACCTCTCTGTCTCTCTCTCTTTTTTTTTTTTTTTTCTTTTTTCTTAATTGGAAGCAGATTTACAGAGAAAAGGAGCGACTCTGACCTTCATCCGCTGGTTCACTCCCAAGTGGCTGGAGCTGAGCCGATCCGAAGCCAGGAGCCTGGAACTTCTTCCAGGTCTCCCACATGGGTGCAGGGTCCCAAGGCTTTGGGCTGTCCTCGACTGCTTTCCCAGGCCACAGGCATGGAGATGATTGGGAAGTGGAGCAACCAGGGTATAAACTGGCACTCATATGCGATCCCTGCACTTGCAACAGGAAAATTTAGGCCCTGACTTTGAAATATTTTTAAGAAAAGAGTAAGGCTTATACCATGTTTTGTTTTGTGAAGTTTTATCCTCTAATACACCATTTTTTTATTTACTTGGGTGTCACCATTTTTGTGACATAATGCATTTCTTCTGTCCCACACACATATATTCATAACACACAGTTAGATCCAAACAGGAAAAAACGGTAAAGTAGAAATGTAATAGGAACGATTAATGTTTTAATATAGATGAAAAGAAATCCTAGCTCAGTTAAGTGGGACTGAAAGTTCTGAGTATGAATACAGCAGGTGTTCCCTGCAGCCATTGAATGTGTTTCTGACTGAATGCACCTGTGTGAATGGAGAATGGACCTGGAGTATGATGTATCATAGCAAAGTGATAAAACCTTCTACCACAAAACTCCCATAGCCCCGTAGGTGAACGTGTTTGTCCTGTCTTCAGGGTCGTGACTGTGATGTCATAGATCAGCCTTGACAAATACAAAATCCCATCCTAAAAATTTGTTAAGCCAGTTGTTTAGCCTGAGTTATAATGAGAAAGGCATAGGGTTTTTTTTTTTTAAGATTGTTATTTATTTTTAATGGAAAGGCAGATATACAGAGAGGAGGAAAAACAGGAAGATTTTCCATCCGACGGCTCACTCCCCAAGCGGCCACAACGGCTGGAGCTGTGCCAGTCCAAAGCCAGGAGCTTCTTCCGAGTTTCCCACATGGGTG